TGTAAACATTTTGATATTTTGCGAGTCCAGACTGAGATTTTGGGTGCTTTATGTGTCCTGGCCGCCTGCTAGTGTTAACCCTTGAATAAAAGCTCTAATAAAAAGGTCAGATATACACCTGTATACTAAAATCATAGACTTGGTCAGTGATGTATAATAATAATGATAGTGGGTTCTTGTATCGCGTTCATGTCTGTCAGACTTGACACTCCTGGCACTCCGCATTTATTACCCCGGCTTTAGCCTGGCTGACATTATGGTGCTCTAACATTTCAAAGAAATAATTCCTGCCAGGTACCCATTTACATCACCTGAGTCGAGTGTGGCAAATGTAGATTTAATGTCTTGCCAAAGGACATTAGTATCAGACAAACTAGCTTAGACTTGCCCCATATCACATTCTTACTGTTAATGGGCCCCAGAGTTCAAACATTATCTACTAGATAAAGTAAGCCAACACTAAACAGACTTCATGAGCTACAATGTAACATGATGATAATACTGAAGAGTGCATTACTAACACACTATGCATGTAGGTACAGTATGTGGAATGGGTAATCAGTAATCACTAATCAGAAATCAGGTTCGCACGGCAGTCCATTAACTTTAAGTTTAAGTCATGGTTTCAAAATTTAAAGTTATTTTGTATTACTAGTAAGGGAATATGAGACGTCTGCGGATGCACTTTTAGTTGCAAAACTAAGTTTACTTGAAGCTGTGTGGACGCACTCAACTTTGAGGTAATATGTCAGCTTGTATTTAAAAGGATTGCTTTCCTAGCTTGTAGTCTAAAACTATGAATACTTGTTATTTCGTTCCTACATGTATGTGAACTCTTGTCATACATGTAGTTAGTGGATTGTTGATTATAATTTTGAGGTTTTGCAAACTTAAAGTTAAGAACTACACAGTGCCACATGAACATAGCTGGAGTTGCATTGCAAGTCTATTTATCTCTTTGACTGGATATCAACTGCCACAAATATGTCAACAATGTCAGTGAGGAAAGCTTATCCATAGATAAGTAGGATTGGGGATTGAGGCTTATCCAGATAAGAGAATTACTGGGTAGAAATCAGGCTTTTCGGGAGCTGCTTATGCAAATATGCGGTTGAAAAACAAATTATATTCTACATTCATGAACACATTTTCCATACAAAATACTAATTGGGTTGTGAAATGCAATTGATTTGAAATTTGGAGCAAATTCTGTGATAGTGATACAAACTGAAGTGGTACATATTTCCGGTATGGTTAGGTTCGTAATGCAGGGTAGCCTACTAAATACTATCATTTTTTGTCCTCCTAGGGAATTCCATTGCATCAGGCAATACTTGAAGTAATCAACTTTATGTTTTTCTATTTTTCATTTGTTTGTTTATCAATTATCATGTATATTTGAATGATCAAAATTGATCTATCGTTCAGATAGTACAGTTATGTACAGTGTAGATGGAATGAACTTTCGAGGTTTCACCAGTATGCAGTTTAAAATGGTTGTTTCAGTCATGCGGCTGAGTCAACCTGTGTTATTGTTTGTAGGCTGTTATTTAAATTTACAGGTCTCCCAAACCGAAAGTTTGTCACTACAAATGTCAAATGTGAACATAGCTCATTTTGGACCAATTGAGGGTCATTAATTGGTCTGCTCCCCTAATTGGTCTCCTTGACTAATTGATCTATAGCTTTAATTTGATGTCCCTATCATAAAAGAGGAGGAAGGCATATTTGACGATACATTTGAATGACCCTCAATGAGGTTTGTAAATCAATCACCAACTAAATCCCCCTCCCCCCCCCCTTCAAATAAATACAAGGGGCATGTTTGTGGATGTGATTTAGAATAGAGTGGAGAAGTGTGACGTCATCAAAAATCTATTTTTAGAATTTCTCAATTTTTTCTTCATATTCCGAAAGAACACCTAAAATAATGTCAAAATGTCGAAAACCAATTGAATATTTTAAGTATTGGCTGAGATATGACCATCTGAATGAATATATCTCCTATGGGAGGTCAGTGTTATATGCTCTGGCTCCTAACCATTAGGAGCCAGAGCATATAACACTGAGTTCCTATTGGGAGTATATTTATTCAGATGGTCATATCTCAGCCGATATTTAACATATTCAATTGGTTTTCGACATTTGGACATTATTTTTGATGTTCTTTCGGAATATGAAGAAAAAATTGAGAAATTATAAAAATTGATTTTAATGACGTCACAGCTTCGGTACTCTATAGTGCCTCTGATCAGCACAATAAGAAATAATAATGCCATTAGTTGAATGTGATGAAAAATTGTGGATTTAATCCTGTAAATATCCAATACCCTTTTCAATGTTCCAAAAAGAAAGTCTACTTGAGAACAGTAAGAGCTGAGTTTGACCACAGAGCACTATCCTACCATTTCAATCTATCTATTCATGTATCACATTCACAGCTCAAAACAAGCAGCTCGCAGGCAGCGATGAGTCATTGAATAGGGTGGGAGTTACATTTCAAAATGCTAGCATCAGCATCCCCTGGTAAACGCATTTATATTCCTTCTCCTTACGACCCTATTAACCCCTTAACTGCATCGTTTGAAAGTGATGTCAAGTGCCAAGTTCATCATTAAGCTATTGTGGCTTGCTAGGCATCAGAGCTTGTCCTCATTTTTTTTTTTGGGGGGGGGGAGGGGTAGGGGGCTGTTCCTTAGTAATAAAAGGGCTAATTTAAAATGCAACATTTTCCTTATAGTAAAATATTTTTAAAAAACATTATGATAGTGTTATTATGGGGCTCTATAGCATTTTCCAAAGGCTCTGAGGGCATTATTGCCCCTGAAACCCTATTGCATTTTGAGGGCTAGTAGCAAAAGAATCTATCCCAGAAATATTCGACATTTCTGGTGGGTGGGTATGGAAATGCTTTATTCAGAATTTGGAGGGTGGACAGTGTACAATGAAGTTGACTTTGCCCCCTAAGCTAATGGGATAGCCCTTGTCCCACCCCCTTATATTTTGGTCTATAATTTCAAATAAATTAACAGATAAAATGAAGTATGAAGAAGAAAAAAAATCAATGTAAAATGTTGTTGTTGAGAGTTACAAAAGAGGTGAAAAATGATTCATTGCGAAGGTCGAAATTTAAATTATTGAACCTGAAAGTTGGACACGACGATTAGATGATGAAAGCATGTTGATTGTCCTCCGATGACCCTGCCGTGAGAAAAGCCTCATTGCCCTGACCTGCACCCACCCTTCCACCATCACAACATCAAATCAATCTGATTGATGCCCATCATCAGATGAACACAGGAATGCAGAGAAGTTCTTCTCCAGGTGTCAATTTCTCTCCTCGCTCTATTAACCCATTCCATTCTGGAACTCACTATCATACTGGTATGCTAAGTAAAACCAGTTTACCTTTCAAGTCATCCAATGATCTATAGAGTGCAAAGTGTCAAGCTTACATTGTGTATATTTTTTAATTCTTTAATAATAATAACACCGGAGTGTTGGCTCAGTCAGTAGAGCGTCCGCCTCACAACCGGGAGGTCGTGGGTTCGAACCCCGGCCGCGTCATACCAAAAAACGTTAAAAGATGGGAGTTGTTGCTACCTTGTTTGGCGTTCAACAATAAGGGAAAGAGAAACGTCGATCTGGCGCTGCTCAGTGGCTGCCGGGCTCACGATCAATTGGGCAAAAAGAATTCCCATTTCGGTTAAATAAAATTTGGAGTGGACTATTAGGCTATTATTATTATTATAATTTTTTTTTTTTTTTTTTTTTAATTCTTTAAAAAAACGATTGAGAGATTGAATGAGATAAGTATTGAACTAAATTAAAAATGACAGTTTTTTTTTTTTTCTTCACGTATAGCCATATAGAATTATTGTAATTTTTTCTGGATGAATAGGTCGACACTTTAATAGTGCTCTACATAAAAAGTGGACCAACTGATACTTCACCACCTTACAGTACATGTAGTAGTTGTAGAGTAGGGGTTAAAACCAAGAATAAAGCCATTGTGTTTAATATGAATATAATATATCACTATTGGAGTCTCACAATGGAATTCACTGGTAGAGTTATAACAAATAAATGATGTGAGATGCAAGCAGTTAAGATAGTATCTTGCTAATGAGTTTTGCAGTGATTGGCCCTGTCTAGACCAATGCCACCCATCTGTGTTGAATGGGTGTTTACGCCCCTTAAAGAGAAAGTTGAGTTCGGGTCATACGTAATAGTGTGAAAAGAAACTGTCTAGAGATTCTTGGAAAAGGTTATGCTGCAAACTTTTTTTAAATTAAACTAATAACCATAATATAACAAAACTTAATGATAATCACACTTAGTGAGAAGCACTAAACAATGCACAAAGTAATGAAATGAGATTATACTATCATGTGGTATCTACATTTAATCTAAAGTTATAAACAATTCTTAGTAATCTTAGATTTGGCGCATGAGGGCACTTAACTAGCAACCCTTCTTGAGTGACATTGCTAATATGTTTGTCACATACTGTATGTAGGAAAACCAGAATAAAAAACCTCAAACTAATTGTCACCCAAACCCAGAACTAAACCTTTTCTTTAAACTTTTTACCATCACTGCACAACCCAATGACAGTAACATCTTACTTTGCATCAAAGGCAAAACCATTAACTTTTTTTTCTTCTTCAAATTTGACTCCCCCCCCCCCCCCCCCCCACCCCCCCCCCCTCCAATTGCATAAGGAAAACAAAAAAGGGCAAATGTAAATCATCCTTGCCCATTTCAGCAGGCTTAAATGTTGCAGTTTAATGTTTCAATTCATGCATTTACTGTATATCTACAGTACCTAAGTCTGAATTGTGGCACTCTTTTCATGGAATCTTATATTATCATCACTGATATTATATTCTTGCACCCTGTTAAAACTTAAAATTCTAATCTATAAAAGAATAAAGAATAATTCAATTTCTAATCATGGAAAGTAAATTCGATCCTGAATTATAGATGAGATGACTTACGATTTAAATGATTGATGTAGTAGACACCAATTGATGGATCAAATGTTTCCTCCCATCCAAATGGCAGCTCTGTGTGATAACGAAGAGAAAACAATAAAGCAATATTAATAATTAGATCACAAAATAATGACTGAACACTTCAATCCCGGTCATGAAATTGCATTTTGCAAGAAAACGATTTGGCAGATATTAGGCTTTAATAGCAGATATTGGTTTTCTATCCTTTAGAATAGATCTCATACCATCAATTTTATTAGGTTCTGGGAGTTTTATTTTTGCCATTCTTTTCCTCATGACTACTTTACAATACATATGATATACATACAGGTATCTGAATATATGTAGATTAAAAATTAATGGCTTTTATGGTTTTATTGATTACACATATCGTCCTAAAATGCGTACTCTTGAGGGCTAAAAGGCAACAAAGGAACCAGTACTTACCATCACCTACGCAGTCTCCAAATGTCAATGGTTTGATTAATCTGTGATCAAAATGAGAACAAAGTAAGTAGAATTTTAGAATAGGTAAATTAGGAGCAGGCAAACTAACAACCAGAAAATCTTTAAGATAGGTAAACATTTTTGTTCATTACAAATTTACTAAGTGAATCCTAAAAATTCTCTATCCCCAATCCACTCTAGAAAGTGCAGTTTTATTTCCACCCCCTTATTTTGCAGGGAATATCTCATAATCGAAAATTAGCAATCTGCTGTTTCGAAGATCATTTTGACATAAAGGTAGTTTTAATAAAATAACACTTGTGTGGTTCATGATGGAATGCAGCTTGCTGTATGCAAGAAATCATAGAATACATTCTACACATATTTTGTTTAAATGTAGTCTACCTGCAGTGTGTTTCCATGTTCATGTTTTGTCCTACAAATCATTTAATATTAAAACTAAAAACACATTTAAACATTGCTGAATACATCTACAATTCTACATGTATGAACTCCATGTACATGAAACCAACTCTACATATGTACATGTACCTCTGTTCATGAATATTCATTTTAGGTTTTTATAGTTGGTACCATGTTCATTTTATGACATGTGGAATGTGTAACAGGTGTCTTTATGAAGCTTTTATGATTCTATGAAGCTTTTATGATTCTCTGACACATACCCAACATGTGATCATTTGTACACATGTTAGTGATTCCATATACATGTATGGAGTTCTCTATATTACAGAAATCCCAATACTGTATGATAGTGTACAAGTCTATATTTAATCCACACTACATTTAACATACAGTATTATCTCGATATAGCAAATTAGAAGCTTATGAAACCATGATACGCCTGGTGGTGCATGATCACATACGTAGGCATGTGAAGCAGTACAATATACTTCTTTTTAAAGCCGGCACGCTGCACACAAAAGCAGTCCAACCCCACACGGCTCAAAGCGAGAGAAGGAAATGCACACATAGCTGATGTATATGTCGAATTCTAGAGTTGACAAAGGGATGAAGGCAGATCAATAGATGACACAAAGATAGGAATGTAGATCAATAGTTCTCTTTCGGTCCTCTTAACAGGACTATTTGGAAGCCAACGCTACTTAGCCATTTAAAGATAAAGTGAAGTTCTGGTCATGTGACTGCATTGTTAAAAGTATAAGGAAAGATAGATTATGAGCAATGTGGTACAGGGTGTACATGAAAATGATGACTACTTTGAAGTTTTGAAATCATGAAAATGATTTTACTGAGCCCACTCTTGCTGAAAATCGTGCACAGAGAAGTATACTGAAACAAATAGATATGGGTACTGACTATGCGTAAACATGTGACATTGCCAGTTTTGCTCGAAAGTTTTAATCCCCTTTTTAACTCAAGAGTATCCTGGTATGTATGTGAATGGCTGAGAGAATCAATACGCTACACAATCAATACACGCAGTGGGTTGTCAGTTTTGTTTATAAATTGTAGACCCTTCAAGAAAAAAAGCATACCTCTTTCTTGGAAACTGAAAAACATAAATTTAAAATACACTTGTCCTGTAAGCTCACAGGCAACAAAGCACAAAGGCTTGCATTTCAAGTAGTCTTCAAGATGCATGGACCATTTCATAAAATCTAATATTGGGAAGGTATGAGTGAAAGTGTGAGACATTGGTCTGTTTATGGAATGTATAAATGTATATCTACATGTAGGTTTGTTTCAAATTTCCCAAAACAAAATGTTCTGTTATGGCACTCTTGTTTACAAAATATGCATGTACAATGTAGGGCCTACTAATTCAGAGCTTGACAACTGTAATTGTCCTCTCTTTCATAAGCAATCAAAGTGGACTGTTTAGCAATTCAGACTTTTGAGAGAGATCGAGACAAGTCACAAAGGATTACAACTATGTGGCAACTAAAAGAAGGCTTAGATGTTTCAAACAATGTCAAGCTATTCACAACATGATAAATAAAAAATTCTAACCGGAACGGATGCAGCGATAATATATCAAAATTCAGGGCAACATGTATCCAACCCAGGTCTATATTATAATCCAACTGAGGGCAACTATAGGAGCCCATTAGGCACTCAGCTAGTGGTCCTAACCAGAGCCCATGTGGGAAAAGAGGAAATGATTTATGCAAGGTGTTACACAGGATTGTCACATACCAAACTACTCTTTTTACTACAAATTTCTCGATCTTTCTCAGAGTTTGGTTCTAGTCTATCAAAACAGACCTTTGCGCAAACAATGCAGCTGTACTGTCGAAGCATCATTCAAATTTGCCTCTTTGTAAAAATCACTAAATAGTAAATCACTAAAAACAAATTCTAGAAACACTTGCATTCTCAAACAACCTGCATCAAATTTCAAAAACTTGTACTGTAGTTCATTTCGGGCAAGAATACATTTTACACAACTTTATAATAACCAATCAGGTTTAAATAGCCTTTAAAAACATTTTTTTAAATATATTTTAAAACAAAAATCTCAAAAATTTGTAAATTATATAAAGTTAAAAGAATGTAAAGGTACATCCATACACCCAAAGTTCATTTTTTTTAGACAGGGCTCCTGATGTAAAGACCTAAATAACCTACATGTAAATCCTGATCCCCTACATAAAAAATGTGTACTGTGGAGCCCTGTCATATAAATGGTGAATCAATAGGCTAGTTAGTTTTCCAATTTATCTGTTGAGGTCAGCAGAGAAGAGACTAATTTTACATGTCCTGGTAGACACTTTCACATTTGACCTCAAGTGTTGTGGTGACCTGCAGGGCCATATATAAACTGAGGAATGTGTGGGTTTTGGTTCAAACTTCAAAGAGTGAGTTCACACAATAGTATTCGGCAAAATAAACTGGTTAACATGTTAACAAATTGGCCAATAAAATGTTCATGATATGCCCAGGTTTTTCTTCAGATAAAGTAAGGTATACAACATACTCATAAAAGGTACAATGTATGTCTGGACTGCTTTGTGAACACAGAAGAGGATTACTTGCACTGAAGGCCTTGAGATATTTTAGATTGTCCAAGAAGATTTTTATAATGTGAACCATACAAGAAGCAAGTTTCCATGGCCTACCTGTACATAATTTGTCCAGAAAACTAGTCTCTATATATGATATTAATGGTATGGTACACTCAAATATGGACAGTTTGTGTTTCTCAACAGTAAAATAAGATGTGATTCAAACTTCAATATTTCCATATACATGTAGGTTATAAACAAATTCCTACATAATTTAGGCTATAAACAATGACATAGTTATCAAATTATCTTACATGTACTGTACAGTACAGTGTACATGGCAAAAAATTCACCGGTATATGGAAATTGAGGTAAACATTATACTTCACACCCCAAAAAAAGATATACATAATACAGTAAGAACAAAATTGAGGTTGAAAAAATCCTTTTGAGCTGCAAGATCAGATAATTGTTTGAAGCCTTGAATTTGTCAATGGCAACAACTTTGACGGAAATTACACAAGAGAATATTTTATTACCGTATTTACATTTCTCACACAACTGTTACATGTACACGACATAGGCCTACACTGTAATGATTGTATATTATCTTTATTTGCATCAGTAGCAATACAATATTTCAAGTCGTACAACAGAACTGTTCTACTGTAGTATTCTACCAATTCTAGCTGAAATGATACTGTGTAAATAACGAGTGGGAGTGGGAAAATTTATACTCACAAACCTGCATGGCATGAATAAGTATTATGCAGACTACAATGGAGTAAAGATGATCATGAAAGGGTAAAATGGACTGACTAATAATACAATTGAATGCTCCAAGTCACAATTTAATTCATGGTGGTTAACAAGGAAATATTTAAAGTATTGCTTGCAACCTGTACATGTAGTTACAGTGTACACATTTTATGACGCAGGCCCATGGTACATTACATTAGTACTTGTACAAATGTGCTCTACCTTTAAGATATAAAACAAGTTGGCAACTATATCAAAGGAATTCTCCACCTCACTTGTTGCATCATGAACATCTTAATAAAAATTTCTTGTTATATTATCTTTAACAAAGTTTCTTATCATCATGAGCAAGTTTTGTTCATAAATGAATTGGCACATAATTGTTATTTACATTTGTCTATTCACTGGAATGTAGAACGATTACAGTGCTCTACAAAATAATGGAAGCCTATATACATGTGTTTTATTACACTATATAACTTCTACATTGTGGGCCTATACCCGAGTTTGAGGACATAATGAAGGTCTGCATGTAGTACCATGTACGTGAACAGTACATGTGCCTTCAATATAGTTGTATCAATTTGGTCAATCATTTTTCAAAATTCAAATTCAGAAAGACAAAATGGATTTTTTAAAATGATATGCCTAATAGGGCATCTTTAGTCCACTCTTCCACAACTTGAACCAACATGTACAAGTAGTCAAGTACATATACATGTAGGTCCACAGGTACATGTATAGTTGTACCAGTAATCAACAAGTTTCATTTGATCAAGTTTTCCCCTTTTCTTCAATCCTTGTCCTGTCCATGCAGAGGAATATCAAGCTGACTTTCTTACCAAACCAAGATATTTCAAAACTTATTACCTGCATGAGAAGCATGTACTGGAAATGTATTGTACATGTTGGCCTACATGTACATGTACATACATCAGTGTGATAAGATCCCAAACTGTATGGACAGCATTTATATAATGTCCCACCCCCCCCCCCCTCAAATTACAGTACAGGCTGTGGAGACTGGAGATTTACATTGTATGGCAGTGAGAAAATGGGCTGTGATACAGTTTTTTACATGTCTGAAGGCAGCATCAGATAAGTTGCCCAGAAGTGAGTGCATGCACCCCCAAAAGACAGACAAAACATGAATTCTCCCATACCACACAATAGGCTTTCTGTCTACATGTATATGGAAACATAAAGGTGTCATTCTCTGTATTCTTTGCTTCTACTGTAGGTCCAGTGAGAGAAGAGAGAGAATCAGAGAACTTGCAAAAACCGGCATAGCTTGAAAGCACTCTGCTATGAAACCAACAACTATTTCAAGGCAGGCTAGAGTTTGTAGACAAATAAAACACACATTCCTTTCTATGGGGCCCTGTCATTGGGAGAATGGGAATTTGGAGGGGTTTTGCTAATACATATCACTAGACCCATTCATACCGTCTGTTGTAATACCACTTTCATACTTAAAAAAAGACTGAGAGTCCAGACGAAGCTTAGCAATATCAAAAGCATAGGCATATATGTGTACAGTATGTACTGTTAAATTTGGACAAAGTGAAACAACTGCCAACTTTTGTGAATTAAAAAATAAAAATGCATTGTTAAGCCAACTGTGATGCATTTTTTATTTTATTGATGCTATTCATGAATTTTAAAACAACTTACAGTTAGATATTCATCATTATAATGTGTTCCAATTCTCTTATTCAGTTAATATTGACCTTCTTGTCTGTTGCAAACCTGTTATGTTTATTTCAAAGTATCTCATTATTATAATACATGTAATTTAATCCAAGTATAATTCTTGTTATACAAGCAATTTATGTGACATAAACTAAACAGATAAAGGCTTTGGACCCACTCCTCCCCCTAAAAGAAAAGACAAACAACTCAAAAGTTAGTGGCATCAGAAGTATGGAGCAAAGTCCAGACTGTAGGGCCGCAATTTGAAAGATGTTTGACATTCCTGCCCTGATTATCTTCACTGATAGAGGAGGCTGATTTTCAAAAGGCTTGAATAATATTGACAATCTTCTCTCTTTTATCACGATAAACCTTTAGTTATTCCTCTCATACTTGGAAAGGAACATTCAACAGGTCATACAGGTGCAATAATTGGAATGTTACAAAAAATATATTTTTGATATCTGGTTACATCGTACACTGTAGGTTAGCATGCCAAATGTATCACTCTTATATTTTCCAAACACACTTTATTGAAATTAAATAGGAAATAAAATTTGTGTACTTTTCTTATTTCTTAAAGCCTAAAGGTACTACAGTACTAGGCAAATAAAACAAATACTGACAAAAGCAGTACATAAGATAAGGGTGGTGATGATTTATTTGAATTTCTCAGAATAACTCCTAGTCTAATTGATGATTGTTGAGAGTTTTTCCTTTTCAGTATTGTAGGCCTATAATTTCCTTCCATAACATCAATATTTTTTCAAGAATACAGAACACATTTTTAACTAAAGCTTGGAACCATGTTTTCATAGGGTGAAAAGACTTGAAGGCATACATTGTACATGTACATGCATTATGTGTAAAACATTCCCTTTTTTTATTATTCAGAAAGCTTCACATTTTGCTTTCAAAGCTTTCCTAGTATTTTTGCTTGAATACATGATACTAGTTTCAGACAAATGTTCAACTACTTTTACTAGTGAACAGATATTATTATCTAGAATTAGCTTTAAAGCATTATCCCTGGTTTCAGAACACTTAACTTTTTTTCTTCCTTTCTTTAAGCTTCAAGGATTATTTTTCTCTTCTTACATAATGCAAGACTGATGAGAATTAAACTACTTCCACAAAGTGAAACTGAAAGGGTTTTTTCTTGGTGATATGAATACTTGTAGGCGTAGGCCTACATTTATCCTTCAAATACCTGTATTTCCCTTTTCAGAATACTGAACCTTTACTTCTTTCTGAAAGTGGAGCAAGGATTTTTTTTCTTCTTCTTCTTCTTCATGTATTATGTAAGACAGATGAGAATTATAATGCTTTCACAAAAGGCCGGTTTTCATCAGACCGAAGTTGCAAAATAACTTGCTATTTTCGGGATATTTTCCCGAAGCTTGAAATTGCATCTTCGCCAGACCGATACGCTCATCGCAAACTTGCTCGGATGGGTGCAAATTAGCCCGCTATTTCCGAGATAGCGAGCTACTTTGGAAACAAGACCACGATTTCTTGTGAAATTTTCTTGACTACCGGTAAATAGCCTGCTAATTGCAACTGCGGGCTGATGAAGACGCAAATTAACTGGCTAATTTGAGATCGGGCTAGTCAAAATAGCGGGACATTTTGCAACTTAGAACTGATGTAAAACAGGTCTGATGAAAACAGGCCTAATGTAAAGAGAATTCTATTGATGTTGTCTCTGTTTTTCAGATTGGAGTCGTGTCCTTCTCCTTGTGCATGTTCTCAAATTCTTTCTGTGTTTTTATTACCGGTAGGTACATGTACATGTGTGTCTGTCCCAAGAGCTGAGCACCAAAAGTGTGACCTACATGTACATGTATCAAGATGATATCACAATCCAAATATACATACTTTGTTTCCGTATGTTATGGCCTATCTCTTTTAATGACTGCCTCTATGAATTTTGCAATAATCTGTAATTTGCAAAAGAAATGTTGAGATGAGGGTTCAAACTCAATTTAGTTGTTGAAACTAGTCTTGTACATGTCATAGCTCTCATTTGAATTCAGTATAGGGGTCTATTACTCTAGATCTATTTGAACTTAAATTTCACATGATTTATTTTTAAGAAAAGCATTCTGTGAATATAGAAATAAAACATTAATTAGGATCCTCTACAAGATGCAAATAAAGCTTTAGTGATTTTGCTATTTAAATTTACTCTCGTTTAAACTGGTCTGAAAGAAAACTGATGAATTGGAAAGAAACATGTCGTTGAGACATTCTGGGTCTCTATAATACCAGTACTAGATTACATTGTAAATACTAAATATTATACTAAAAATAATACTGCACCATAAATATCCGCTAACAAATTACTTCACTTCCACGTACATGTAAATTAATTAATTGCATCTTGTTTAATATTCATAATCAAATTGTGTAAATCATTTTTATACTGGACAGACATACATGTAAACTGTGTCTGGTAAGGGAAATTCTTTGTTAAAACTGACTATTTGTCAACCTTCCCTAGATTTAAATAACAAAGTGAAAGTCATGAACTAATGGAAGTAAAATTACCTCCATGTATCTCTTTCAATAAAATACACTTTTACTGATTTAAAATTTATATGAATCACTTTCATAAATGACATGAGCAAAAATTCTAGATCTAGACTCTACTCTCTAGACCTCTAGGCCTACCAATTTTTATTTTTTCACTTCTTTGACTTGAGATAATTGACTGAACAATGATGATCAATAACATTTTTTATCTATATTACACAGTATGCTCATTAACATAACAACCCCCAAAAACGGGAAAACATCGCGCTATTCACTATGCAGCTGCAGTTAGCAATTCCCCTTTGTACTGCATGCTACCACCACCGCGCCGCGCCGTATACCAGTCTACCACCATAAACACCACAACTACTATACGCGAGCGGCTAAACAACGGCCACCTTGCAAGCCCGATCAGCCTACCTGTCGCGAGGGTCCATCCACGATGTCTTTCTCGTACTGTGGTCGATGAAATACACTTTTCCATCGCCATCACAAGCTTCTTCCCATCCTCCTGGGAGAGGAAACTCTCCTTCGCGTGTTCTAGGCATTCTTATCACTGATGTGAGCTCATATCCATGAAAATGATGAGGTGGCTTCAATCTAATCCTTCCACTGTATAATTCCAGACGCCATGTTTACACCATTCCAGTCGATCGCGATGATCAATGTGCGTAATTAATTGTGCCGTTTTATTTACGAACGAACGTTTTCAGAATTCGAGTGTAACGCTGCATCGCCCGTACTACACAATGCACTTTATGGTTTCGCTCGATCGGAGCGAGCACCTGCGGAATAAGCTCATTACGTATGCACGATTATTGCGCTTTCGTAGCCTTGGTGACATCATTCACCAGGAATTTCAGCTATTTTCTGAGAGCGAGCAACCTGAATGAGCACCGACCGCAGCGGAACTTGCTCTTCAAAGCTTCATGGCTTAGACGGCGCTATTTATAAACATAAAGGACAACAAAATAAGGTTTGACTGGGGGTTTGGCAAGACTTTATAATAATAATTTCAAATAACATCGAAAAACAAAAACTTTCCTTCTCTACAGATAATTGAAAAACGGGCCTAGCTCTCACGTTCTTAAGTGTATATGCCTCTTATCTGAAAGCCTAGTACAGATAACATATTTAATTTGTTTCCATTTTATCATTAAACAGTTTGTAGAAAGGGAAATAATTATAACAATAAGATTAGAGGAAAAGCGACTTGTAGTTGTAGCCTATAATTATACTGTTAATGTTAAATGGAAATGTTTGTATGCAGCCTGTTGGTAGAGCAATATTTTTTTTGGGGGGAAGGCCAAACCTGGTTACAAGGTAACCTAATCAGATATTGCACCCAGTCCCACCAATCTTTCCTCATCAATTAACCTCTCCATTTAAATATGTATATTTCATTTGACTAATAAATTTAAACAAATATATGCTTAATATTTCCACTTACCTATCCATCTGGCCAGTATCTGATCTACTACTTGTCTTAATTTCCACTCTTTATTCATTCATTCATCCATCAACATAAATTGCTCCACTCAACAGCTGATACAACATCATTCCATCAATCCACTCATCCTTCAATCATCTATCCATCAATCTTCTGATTCATCAGTTCACTAAGACATTGTTGATTAATCATTAAACCATCAATCCATCCATCTATCCACAAATCAATCCATCCTTCCATCTATCAATCAATCAATCCATCCTTCCATCTTTCATTCAATTCATCAATCAATCAATCAATCAATCAATTTATCAACCAACAAATCCATTAATCAATCAATATTTCACCAAGTTTTCAACCAAGCACAAGCTACAATGTACCAACATTACAAGGAGTGACATTTTTACATTACAAATCATTTAAAAGCATTAATGAGTATGTTTATTCCTTACATATCTCCTTTTAACAATGAAAACAAATGTAAATGTGCAAATCAATATTACTCTTCTCTTGAAATTATTTCAAATTTTGGGGGCCATACCAAAACTCTAAATAGCGCAGTTTTGATGTACAATCTAAGAAAGGAACTTTTTAATGTTTGACAATAACATTAATTATAAATCAAGTACCGGTAGTTGGTTATGCAGAGTTGGTTTCCTTTTACTTACCCTACTTGTCTTTCTTGTATATATGTATACACTTACTTGTTAACGATTATAACTGCCCTTAAGCTTTTACAAGATTTGTGCATGTTATGCACACCTGTATGATTTTGTTTTTATTATCCTTTTCATTTTATGAACATAAATTGTATTTGTTCAAAGATTTGTTATCTTTCATTATAATGCTTTAGCACTTAAACATTGTTTTTATCTTTTAGAAGCGTAAGAAAGTTACAAGATACTATATTATTATTTATGTATATATACAGCTACGTCTCTAGACCATTTTCTTCACGCCTATATATATATATATATATATATATATATATATATATATATATATGTAAATACAAAAGAAACACGTTTTTCATTCACAATAAATTTTTTAAATAAAATTTAAAAAATCTTGCCAAAGAATGGTACTAGGCGTGACTAGCACTTGTGCTAACTTCTAGTTCCCATTAACAACTTCACCTAAATATTAGTAATATCTTTTGTACATTAAATAGTATGCAAATCTATGTCTAAATATCCTTTTAAAACCATTACTGTTCAATCAAAATCACTCTTCTGTTATGTATACATGTATCAGTATTCTTCTTGCATTGTAAAATTGTTTATATACTTTCATTATTGTTATGTGTTGTCAATAAATTCAAAGTCAAATTCAAACATGTATCCTACATGTGTTGTACATACAGTAAAAGCACATCTCCATGTCCATTCTTAAATCCCACAATTAAATTTCATTTTAAATATATACCTGTACAACTGTATGGTTATCTACAACCCCGTGCTTGGGAAAATTCTTTGTCCTGGGCCATATATTGCTATTTTGTAATTTATGTACCACTGTCTATGTTGATAGTGAAATAAATACTTCAGTAATATGCATCTATCTACAGCTCAAGTATACCATCATTTTCCAGAATAATATGAAAAAAGGGAATACATGCATGAATTAATCATATGATATGGTAAGTACATTAGCATACACAAATTATAGTGATTTGTGAGTATATAAAAAGCAAAAGTCATTCAAGAATTCTAAGTACGGTACAGCAGTAATCCCTTTTTGACAAGTCTTTATGCACATCCAAGGTCTTAAAAGTAACAGGAACCAGTGAACATGGCCCCTCAAATTTCACTCCAGAGTCCAGACCCATGAAATTGTATTCTAAATGGGGGCATGGTCCAAACATTGCAAAAATTTCCAGTAGGTGGTAGGTAGCCAGCACCTGTCTGATGGAGTTAGAACGGTCTTCTAACCAGGAGGTCTAGGGTTTGAACCAAACCGATGCACTACTGCTCTTTGGTAGGACAGTTAGCCTCAATTACCAAGCATAGGACTTAAAAACCTATGTACACTTGTTGCTTATCTACAACCATATTCTTACTTTCTTAGCAAGCAGGTAAATAAATTAAGGTAAAATACACAATTTGTACTAGTATATATTTCAGAGCATTATAAAATGTTCGATAGACTACTAGAATTGTATACATGTAAGTACAGAACTGGAAGTGATCACTTTTGACACTTAATTTCAAGATGCTCTGTAATCATTTTTTTAGTCTTGAAGCTGAGCTTCAGAGAACTCCTGAGTAAGAGCTCTATTCGGTCGTAGGATCAGCTGGGCTGTAGGGTAGTTAGCCGCTACCTCTCTCATGGAGTCCAAACAGTCTTCTACTGCCGGAGTGCGGGTCAGCTGGGTACCCAGGCAAGCCACAGAGCGTCGTTTGTTGTCCAGACGGGCCGACCGTCTGACTGGAGTGACAAGCAGGCAAGGAGTGGGCGGAGAATGGCCAATGGTCCGGTGAATCCTGCAAGGAAGAGAGAAGACTTTAGACATGAACCTGCAAATGATCTTTGTATTTATTTCATTTACATAAGTTTTCCAATTGATTCAATCATAACAGATAGCTCCTGAATTCTACAAGGTTTCACAATAAATGACAATCTGCACCAAGAGCGAACACCCGGTTTAAGAGTTAGATCTTTGATTATGTTAATCGATCTTATTCTAAATGTTTCTCCTTTCTCTCACTATGTAACAGCATTGAATGTGTCTGATATCAGTAACCATACACATGTAACCATGACCTCTAGTTTTACAAACAGTATCTATCATCAACCAACCAGTCCATCTTTATCACAATGTGAGCATGTCACATCAGATATTGTTTGAGAATCAGAATTGCATTATTGTCCTTAAATAAGATGCATGTTATCCAGCTAACAATGGAAGTTACAAACTGATTCAGCCGAGGACGCAGGTTCGAAACTGAGTCACGTCTTTTGGATGGTGACGTTAAAAGTTGGTCCCCAGATGTAAATTATCATATCTGATTGACACACGTCTGTAAAAACACACACACACACACACCATTCTGGATTTTAAAAGAAAAGCCATTTAAATTGCAAAAGTGTGGTTTACCTCGTAAAGTAAGGTGTAGTTTCCTTGAGGCTGTACTTGATGCTCAAATGGGATGTATCCTCTCCAGGTCTCTTATCATCCTCTCCATCAGGAGACTGGTTCCCATCCTCTTCTTCAAACCTCAGGTGTGCTACAGGTGTCTGGACCTCAAGGCATGGTGAGTGCCTGAGACGGTAGTCCACACCAGTCTCTATGGAAGGAGATTTCCATCTGGTCTCTTCGGATTCCTCACTGCTCATCTTTAGCTTGAGTCTGTATGTAGCCAGGGTGTCCAGGATATCTTTTACAGGCTGTAGTATTAAGAAACAAAGTATACAAAAATTGTGTGTTACACTTAGTAAATGAAGTAGACAAGCTGTTGTTAGATCATATTAATGGGGCCATCATTGACATTTGATGACACCATGGTAACCCCTTTTACCCCCTTCCACTTTATGACAAGACATGATACGACTAGGCAACATTCCAAGTTTGCATTTGTCATTTGAATTGTGAACTTTGTATGTCAATAACCATTGCACATATGTTTTTGAGTACCCCTCCCCCCCCAAAAAAAAAATAAATAAATAAAAAAAAAATTAAAAAAATACATGTACAAACATTTTGATAAGACTAGACATGTAGCAGATAGGAGGGGGGGGGGGGGTCAACAGTATAAGGGTCAACCAACTACAAAACCTTGGTAAAATTGACAGCATTGAGACAGTCATGAGTAGTTTCAGGCAAAGTTTCCCCTAACAGTGTGTAAATACATATTATTCAAAACTAATGTTTTTAGTTTGCATCCCATCAAACAAACTTCCAGAAAGTAAGTCTGTCATAAATTGCTTACAAAGTCTTGTGGTAAAGTAGTGTGCTTGAATTTACATGAAGCATACACACTTATCCCAGGATATTTGATATATTGCTCCTACTATTGTTATCAATATGATTCTAATTTCCAAGGGATAAACTAGAAGAGAGACAGACATACAGGCACACATAGAGGGAGGGAGTGTTACTGCTTGATACCTACAATGTTAACTCTTGTTATGCACTTACTTCAGGGTTAAACTCCACAGCTTCAAACAAGCATTCAATGGCAGACTGGTCTCCACCCTGTTTCTCAGCAATCTTTGCCCTGCACAGCCAATAGCCTGCACATTGTTGGATGAGTGGAACTTTGGTCACCATTCCATCCAGCCAGGCTAACATGTCTTCCAACGGGCATCCCTATAATAGGGTAAAAACAAACAAGGGTTTTTGATGAGAAGGACAATTTTGGTGAATGTTGAAAATATATATATCATTTAACATTTGTCAGCAGTCTACATGCAATTAAGTTAGGAAATATGGAACAACCTTTCAAGAGAAAAATCCTGTATATCATTATAAATTCATGTCATAAGTTTCAGAAAAGGGTGTTAATAAGATTTGAATTATTAATCTTCTTTTTATTTTTTCAGCCTGAATGGGTAAATGGATAATTGTCTAGTCATACACCAAAGAGTCTTTAATTCCCCCAACATATTTAAAATGGCATTTGCCTCTAAACTAATGAGCAATCACAAAAGAAATGCACAATGCACAGAATCACAGCATATATTCAACCGACAGCTCTGATCCCTTGAAAAGAAATGAATACAAAGGGTACCAACAGGATATAGGTCAAATATCAACTCAATCCAATAATCTTTTCAAATCATTTGTTTTGCTTGGCAAAGGCATTTTTTGCTTGTGTTTTTTTTCTTTTCTCTCTAAGCTCTCTTCTAATGATACAATTATATCCTGCTAGACATAATACAGGATTTAGGTGGGCTTTCTTGGTATAAACCAGAGCCTGGTCTTATAAACATTTAAGATTAATTACAACTTATGAGATAGGAGACTTGATTGATTGGAGGACTTGCGATTTATTTGAATCAATTGCAACTCTCTATAACACGTGGTCCTGAACACACATTGTGATATTGAGGAAACATTAATTATTAATAAGAATTTCCTGTTCAGAGAAATGTACAGGAAGTAAAAACATATTTACATGACTTAGTAGTGATTTAGTTGTTTGCATACAGCCTTATTTAGAAGGCCTAAATAAAACTGGCATTTCTTGCATGGTCCTTCTAATCTATACCATATTTGACTAATGACTAATACATGTCTAGATCTGAACTAGCTAGACAAGATTTGAGTAGTACAGCCTCAACTAGGAAGACCAGGGGAGTGTTTCACAAAGACTAAGATCGACTTCAAGTTGGACTTAAATATGACAGGCCATTCATGCCACTGGGTGCTCTCACCATTGGTCTCTCAATTATGATCTTCAGATAATATTTTTTCCTTCAATAATGAACTATCAAAAAGGCTCAATTCTGTAGATTTGTGACCATGATTTGTACATCCCTTGAGAGACCATTGCCAGTAAATGGTGAGAGCAAACAGTGGCATGAATGACCTGCCATAATTAAGTCCAACTTAAAGTCAATCTTAGTCTTTGTGAAACACCCCCCTGGTCTTAACTGGTCTGAGTCTCCATCTCACCTCCTCCAGCATTTCCAGACACTCTTTCATGGTGCCATGTACAGCACCACCTTCACCAGACCGACGTGTTCCTTTTCCGGGGGTGTCTCTCCTGTTCCTCCCAAGGTGAGGTGTCCCAGACCTTCTCCTCGACATGTGGCTGCTGCCTGCAGGGCCAGGGGTGTGTTGCAGGGACGACTCATAGCCCAGGAAGTTGTTGAACCTCGAGGGCGTCTTACCCTTGGCTATCAGCCATTGCTCCAGTCTTCCTCTTTAAATTTGGAGACAAATAGTATAAGTAACGATAACAATATTGATGTTTTTTTCTACAGCACATATATCAACCACGAAAATCGCTCAAGGCATTCCAATACCATACCTGCCAACATTTAAAAATAAGAATTAGGAATTTCTAGCACAGTATGCCTTCGAAAATAAGAAATCTGTACCCTTAACAGGCGTTCGCACGTGCAGCGGCAGTGTACCTGGCAATACGCGGTAAATCTGTAATAAAAAATGAATACAAATTCGGTGCTCAATCATGCAGCCTTCCGATGCATGCAATATGTGAACTCCCAAATTGCGGCGCATGATAAAACAAGCTTAATTTGGCTTTAGCAACAACAAAAAACAAAAATATCTGAATTTTGACAAATCAGGATATTCTGAGTTGTTAGGTTCTCAAAATCCATTCCGGATTATTTGGAAGGGTTGGCAGGTACGCAATACTACCCTGGCCTAAAGTGAAAAAAAATTCTAGCAATATTTTAGTTGTTTTGTGGTGCAAGGTCACAAATTGTATTTCTATACCAGTAGCTTATTTCTTGTGGAACGAAAACAAAAATTTAAATTACCTTATGTCTGACTTGCTCTTGCTTGGTCCAGGTGTGACCTTGGGTGTGCAGCTGACAGGGATATTTTCATCACATGCCTCCACTGCTGTTGACATCTTGGGCGAGGAGAATCGAACAGACTTGCGACCCTGGGTATGGAGGCTGACATGTGACAGATCATGTGACCTGATAGGAACTTGCCGAGGCATGGCTGCTGGGATTTTATCTCTTTTGTTTGGAAGCAATGTGCTGCACAAAAAAAAAGGGTAAATGAAAGGGGTGGTTAACATTGGAAAAGCCAAATATGATAGCAAGACCTAAAAGTATCCAGGGAAATTAATTAAGTAAATCATAGATATCAGCCACAAAAAGAAAAAATGTTTGCATAAATCAAAGTCCATGCAGAAAGATCATGAGCATGTATAAGACTTTAAACTATGTTTTTTTTTCTTAAAAGTAGATGCTACCTGTAATTATTTATTTTTTACTATGGATGTACTCACACTTTATTGCCTGTTGCTATATTTTTGCTCTCATTCCTTTTCACACTATTTGAAGATTGATGGGGAGTGTTCATCCTAGTTGATGGTGCTAGGCTTCTCCTGCTAGGCTGCTTGTTAGTCTGTAGATTGCTACATGTACGTCTCCTATCGATAGCTACATCACGTTGGGTTGAAGGGCCTGGGGTATAAAACCTAGCTTGCTTGCTCTTATCATCAGTTCTCTCCATCTTTTTCTCGGATTTAGATATCTGAATGGATTTCCTACGAAGCAGATGGAAAACATAAAAATATGTAATTACAAGTAAGACATGATTACCAACAGTATGTTTCATAGTGTAAAAAAATAGTGGAATCAATTGTCAACATCTCTCTCTCTCTCTCTCTCTCTCTTTCTTCATTTATGTTTCAACATTTGATTATCACTCAATCTTTATTTATTTAATACCAAATTGATTTTGTGAATCATGCGTATACATACTTTCTATGAAAGAAATGTGTATTATCATTGTTTGTTGAAATAATCATAGGAATTATTATCTATGCACAATGGGTCTATTTTCAACGATTAGATAAATTAGCTTTTATTCCTCAAATTGTTAAAACTATTAATTTTGGTGCATACTATACTTTGCAAGTATCTGGAAAGAAATAATGACAGAAAGTTAATAAATTGCCTCATAAGTTACATTTCTCAGTACATGGTGCATATATAAACTACCCTATTGCTCATAAAGTTGGAATTATTTCTTCATACCTCTTTTCATGAAATGACTGTGATAATATGTTTTATTCTTGATAAAGTTTAAATCTTCTCAGAAATGTATCAATAAAGTTATGAGGAGATGTAAACTTTATCTATCAGTATCAAGTATACATGTACATACTGTCACAATCAATTCATGAAAAGAGGCAAGAGAAAATTATTCCAACTTTCTGGGCAACAGCGTATGATTCTTCATCCATAGCCAGGCATTCTATCTGCCTGACAAAAGTAAAGTTGGATTGTTTAGATTACCTCTTCAATGGATGACTTGGAGTTGTGTGCTTGGACAGCAGTTTTGTCTTTTGTCTCTCCTCTTGTATTTTACTTAGGGTAGGCAAACCCTTCTTTGCTCTCCATGCTTGCAGCCTTTTCTCCATAATATCTAAAACAATACCACAATGAATTTCATTATAAAAAATACATTGATGATCAAGCTCTTCTTGTATGTAGGGGACTAAGGGTACATGTATTAGCTGTATTGTGTTTTCAAGGCTAAAATTCCTATAAAGTCATACTTTTCAGTACTTTAGGACAAATTTAATAATGTAGTCATGAGTCTTTGCAGCTTTAGCATTTTTTGGTATGGATTTGTGTGATGTGAATACTCAATATTATGCATTTCAGGAATCGCCAGGAATCACTGATCAATCGGCAGTGAAAATAGAAGTCAACACAAATTATAACATGCATTTGAAAATATTGTGGGGGCAAATTGAACAGAAACAGATGTTTACTTCTTTATGTTTTGAACATAATTTCGAGCATGGATCACTGTGGAAATGTCATCTGTTTCCCAAGGCCTCAGGTTTTGCCCAGTCTGAGATGTCCGTGGTGGAGACTGGAGAGCCATTGTGGATTCAAAATATTGTGCCAATAATGATACAGGATCAGGAGTGATCACATCTCAGGGAATAATTTTCCTGGTATCGCATCGCAATTTGCTATGTATTTTTGCATAACTGCTATACAAAATATCTTTTGTGTAGCAGTTTTCTTTCATAGAAATGTACAGAATTTCATTTGAAATATTTATCCATCGGGTGAAATTGCTTATCAAAAAATTTAGGGAAAGTTATTCCCTGCATCTAAGTAACATGTCTAAGGCTTGTTCAAGTATTGGGCGGTAAACTGCTGCAAAAGAAGCCGCAGTGATCTTTCTACATGTAAATCAGCACTTTACTGACACTTGATAACACTTTTAGCAGCGAAATACAATAAATTTAACTCGCCAATGAATGTAAAAAATACTGCAACTCGACCCCCCATAAAAATTGGTATTCTGAAAGCTCACTTAACTTTATTTTTAACGTTACTTTTAAGTACTCAAGTAAATTGAGCGCTAACAGACCTCCTAATCGGTATTCTGAAAAATCACTTAGCACTCTATGAACTCCTACATCATGAAAATAGGCCCCTCCTCTTTTTTAGCCCATTTCCACCAATCAGATATACTGTAACCAATTAGAAAAATGATGTATAAATGTGCTCCAATTTCAACATAGGAAAATGTGTTTATAAACTGCAGAGTGTGAGAGCCGCTTTCAGAAAGCCTTGTGATAATTTCACTTTCTTGAATTGAAACATCCACTTAATTTTAGAACATTGAGACCTCTGTCTTATCAAAATGAATAAGGTTATTCTTAATTAATCAAACATTTCATCTTGGCAATTGGACATCCATTGCGTGAAATGAAAAATACAATTTTAGGTGATAGGTGATAGTGGTGGTTATTTTACCTGACAGCTAAGAAAGCAATAAATGCTTGTAAATAAGCAACCAGGAGACCGACGGCTTTAGGTCCTCTCCGAGGGACCTGGTAATGAGGATTAATGCCTTACCAAAGGGCACTAGCGCATCGACTTGGTTTCGAACCCGGGTCACCGGATAACGAGACCAATGCTCTATCGACTGAGCTATCGCGCCTCCTCCTTTTACTAGTGTTGTGTCTGCCATGTCTCGCTAAAAAACTGATGACTTCATAGAACTATTGGGTCTTTTATCTTTTTGAAGCCAATCGACTACTAAAAGAGATTTAAGAACAACAAAACTCTTTCAACTCCTCATTTGACTGCTGTGTGCGCACATCAAAGCAGTTTATAGCAAAACGCATCTCTTGCCAATTTAAAATGGTCATTTAAGTGAACTTTCAGAATACCAATTTTCCAAATTGAGAGTTGTGTGTGAGAAATAGGTGCGTGATGTGGACCAAGTTTTTTGTGGCTTATTTTTTTATTGGCCAAGTTGATTACTGGAAGTACTGAGACTATTGCTGGAAAAAAACCACATGTGGCGGTTAAAAATATCAAATCGGATATCTTCATTTTATTGGCAGTGATTTCGACCTTGGATTATAACTGGAAATATCAGAAGTTCTTCATAATGATAATAAAGGCATTAAAGATTATGATTTTTGACAGTTAAATTCATGAGTAAGTATTTGAAATTTTAATTTTATTTTCCCCCATTTATTCTAAACATGCGATATATCATTTTTACATAACGGTAGATAACTTCACACAGGCGCGCGCCCGCCCGCAACCCACCATCAGTATGTACTGTATAGTGCAGCGGTTTGCCGTGAAACCTGTGAAGAGTGTACATACTAATATCAACGTTTATCTGAAAATTACTCCAAAAATAACAAGAAAATTGACACGAAACAGGTAACAAACATAACGCCTTTTAACTCATGATCATTATTTGGACATTTAATTAATATTTACTTCATTTTGGGTATGTTTTAGTAGGGTATCTCCACGCCGGAGTTACGGGTCAAATTTTGGATACGTATCTGAACAAGCGCCGAAGTAGAAGGCAAGAGCCACGGATCGCCTGGCCGAGTCTCAGCTCAGGTCTGCCAAACAAGAAATTAGCAACTAAAGCAGACCTGTTAAAACCAGTGATCGAAATTTATATCGTCTTATATACTAGTGAAATTGGCGTTAGTTCATAACAGCTTTCATAATTAAAACAAAAGTTAGTAAATCACACTCACTCAGGTTCAATATGTGGGACTTAATATTAAAACTACCCAATTTCTCACCGTTTTCTACCGAACTTCTTCGCCTTTTCCGACAATCAGAAGATTTAGAAAGTGACTCCATCGTATTCCGAAATTATATGGCAGAGTACTTTCTAGCAAAGCAAGGCAGAGATAAAATAAGACAAAACAAATCTCGAAAACTGGCAGTCTTGACTGTTTATGTTTTTGTAATTCGCTCCTCCTTCTGTCTGTTCTCGTTGATGACCAATCACGTCGTCGCATACTTCCGGGGGGCGGGGGGGGGGGGGGTGGTAGATAGGGACCGGATCAGGGTACCGAGTGGGCGCGGAGAGGTGGTATGGGCATATGGGCCTACAACAATACATATAAATACAAAAAAAATACATGAAGGTAGCATTTGGACACGTTAGTCTCGTGGATAGGCGATCGCCTGGTAACTGGAAGGTACTAGGATCGAAACCCTGCAAGTGGATTTTTTTTTATTAAAAAAAAAACTTAAACAAAAAAAAAGCCGATGATGTTAAACCCATTTTTATGTCGCTAAACATATTTATTGCTATTCTTTTAATTGATCGATACAATGACCTTACAATGAACTTGTAAACAAAATAAAGTACTACACGAAGTACACGAAGGACAACAATTCTGTTTTATCAATCAAAAAAAGACATAATAATATTCAATACTTTTTCAGTCTGAATGAAAAGGAGAGAGAGAGAGAGAAAAAGAAAGAAAGAGAGCCAGAAAGAGACTAAAATGAAAGTCCAATATACCCCATTAATCAAATAAAGTATGATAATCTCAATCCACATATTTACAATTAATTCAAATGTTTTGGCGGGAAAGCCAGAATTAAAAAAAAATAAGTAAATCATTTTTTCCAAGTTTGGAGTTGAATAAGAATTATTGTTGTTGTTGATATAAGGAAAAGGGTTCCAAGGCACAATATGTCAATGGGGCCTGTTGTGGGGGGGGGGGGGTAGTGTAGAAAAAACTGTTGATCGTGGGGAGGGGGGGGGGCAAAAGGGCCTTGCCTCCCAGCTGTTACCTCCAACCCCCCCCCCCCCCCATCAAGAAATAAAATAGAAGGAAGGAAAGGGAAAGACAAAAGGAAAAGAGGAGATAAAGGGAAGGAAAAAAAAGAGGAAGAGGAAAAGAAAAGAAGAAGGGGGATATGGGGATATCAGTTGCAATTTTCCCGCTAACAAATTGTAGTTTGGGGGGGTGCAAAAGGTCATTGCCTCCCCCCCCCCGCCCTTAAAAAGGGGGAAAAAAGGGAAAGGGAAAGAGGAGAGCAAAAAGGAAACAAAAGAGAGGAAGAGGCAAAGAAAAGGGTGAAAAGAAGGGGAGAACAGTTGCGCCAACAACGCGTGGATCGGGGGGGGGGGGGTCGAAAGGCCCTTTCCTCCCCCAGCAAGCCTAAAACAGAGAGAAGGAAGGGAAGGGAAAGGAAAAGAGGAGAGATATATAGGGAAAGAAATAAAAAGAGAAAGAAGAAAGCTATAGGGGAGATCAGTTGCGATTTTCCTGCCAACAAGGTGTAGATCGGGGGGGTGGCACTGGCGTACTGATGGGGTGGGGGGGGGGGGGGGGGGGCTGGGGAAACAAATGCCCCTAAATATAATTCAAACGTGGTTTATTTCTAATTCGATACCGGTGATTTACAAATGTTGCTGAAATGACATGATTTTCCGAGATTTTTCCTCAATCTTTTTTATACGTTTGTTGGAAAATGGCAAATTCCTAAAGAAAGAAAAAATATTAGTGACCTGCCTTTGTCACAAAATAATGAGGGGTCAAAATTTGCTCATCTGACCGTGATTAAATGCCTGAAACCCGAGCTTCCGGGGGCTCTGCCCCTGGATTAAACGTAGGGTCTGAACGTAGGCGCGGGTCCAGGATTTCTTAGGGGGGGGGGCAAAATTTGGAATTTTGCAAACCAAATATTCGTACGTGACCACTAAAGCAGTGGCGTAATGAGCAAAATCCTTTTTTTGGGGGGGGGGGAGGGGGGAGAGGAACGAATTCCGTCTCACCACCATTTTTACATGCAGGCCCTGCTGAACGTTTTTCAAAGTGGGTGGGGGAGGGGGAGGGCGTATGGGCACTTAATTACGGTCAGATGAGCATATTTTTATACCTTATTTGTGACACTGACACGACACTAATTGACGTGGGGTCCAGGGGGCGTAGCTCCTGGAAGCTGAGGGGTTTTAGGCATCACATTATGTTGCATTTTGTTTTGTTACTGTTATGAGTTTATATTCATACTTTTGTTATCAAGCAGAATAAATAAAAACATACATACATACATACCCCCCCCCCCGATCCACATCTTGTTGGCGGGGAAAATCGCAACTGGTCTCTCCCACCTTTCTTCTTCCTCTTTTTTTCCTTTTCTCTTTCTCTCCCTCTTCCCTTCCCTTCCTTCTCTCTCTTTTAAGTTTGCTTGGGGGGTGGAGGGTAAGGGCCTTTTGGTCCCGCCCCCCCCCCCGATTCACACGTTGCTGGCCGAATTAATTGCAACTGATCTCCCCTTCTTTTCATTTTTTCTTTTCTTATTTCTCTTTTTTGTTCACTTTTAGCTCTCCTCTTTCCCTTTCCCTTCCCCTCCACCTCCCTTTTTGGCGGGGGGGGGGGGGGAGGCAAGGGCCTTTCCCCCCGATCCACATCTTGTTGACGGAAAAATCGCAACTGCATGGTACCCCCCCCCCATCTTTTCTTTTCTTCTACCTCTCTATTTCTTTCCCTTTCCCCTCTTTTCCTTCTTTCTCTCTCTCTCTCTCTCTCTCCCTCTTTTTTTTTTCTCTCTCTCTCTCTCTCTCTCTCTCTTATAATCTACAGCCGATGCCAATACGCACATTGCCATATCTTTTTAGACTATGATGAAGTAAATGATGATTATTTTTCTTGAAGGTATTTGTAATCGTCTACTTGTCGGAGTTTCGATTTAAATTAAGTCGTATTTGTTTGTCATACATTTTGCAATACAACAAAAAAATCATTAAAAAATTAAAATTAAAAAACAAATTGAGAAAAGGAGTCAGTGGCGGATGCAGGGGGCATATAGGGAGCGCGTGCCCCGCCCCTACCCCCTAAAAAGCAGGGCGGTAGGAAGGAAAAAGGGAGTGAGGCGGAAGAAATAAAGGCAGAAAAAAGGAAGAAGATATAAAGGAAGCTGAAATGAGAAAGAAAAAAGAAAGACATATGAAGGAAGATAGACATCAACCCTCCCCCCCCCCTCTCTTGAGCAAAACAAAATAATTAAAAAAATCTTTTTTTATTTTTTTATAGGGGGGGGGGGGGGGGGGGGGGGTCGCAAGCCTGAATCCGAAGACTGGGGTATAGATGTAGATCTAGGTAGAGTCTATATTTTTTAGGGGTCATCAAAGGTCCTAGCCGTGGCCGTGGGCACGTACGACGTAGCGCTCCTCGCCCTCGCTCGTCGGCCGGCTGCGCCAAGCGCGCGCTTGAGCGCCGTATTTATTAATGATTATGAGTTGACAGAGGAAGTTGCTGAATAAATTCGTACGCCGATAGAGTCAATTCAAATATGCTCTGAATCACTGAATTTAGATTTTACGTGAGTGAAGATCTATGTATTATGGCATAATTATTATATTTACTGTAGATATTCATTTAAATTGGTTATATATTAATTTCAGGCCTAGTTTGTCATGTTTGTGTTTACGAACGATGCCAAACAGTAAAATCACTCACGGGAAGTCGAATGTATGGGGCTGAAGTGTAAAGAGCTGTATGAAAGAGTCGACGCCCACATAACTCCGGGAAGCTCCGATGCCGAAGGCGAAGGCGTCGGAGCTTCGGGCGGTGCATCGAAAAACATTTTAACAGCGAGTTGGGCGACATTATCTCAAAATATGCAAAGGGAGTAATTACAATTTTGACTTTAATATTTGGTTGCTCGACACCTCTGGGCATCTACATGTATCCATCTACTTGAAATTATAATTATAATTATAATTTGAAGAAGTCTTCGATGGGGAAAAGCCAAAAGAGGGTGATTCTTCGTCCTACCCCGACGATTCTTCCATGTTGTTTCGTCGATTCAACCGGCGAAGAGAAGTACGCCCTACCGCGCATGCATACTTAGTGCGTACTAAGAATCACCCCCTTTTCCCATCGAAGACTTCTTCAAATTATAATTTCAAGTTAATGGATAGATGCCCAGAGGAGTCGAGCAACCAAGTAGATCCAAGTCAAAATTGTAATTACTCCCTTCGCATATTTTGAGATAATATTGCCCAACCCGCTGTTAGAATGTTTTTTGATGCACCACCCGAAGCTCCGACGCCTTCGGCATCGGAGCTTCCCAGAGTTAAAGAGATCAGAGACATCTAACAACTTTAGCATTTAGCCTGTGGTACCTCGTCTCTGTTATCTGAAATAGGAAACCACCATTCGATCGCATTCTGCACAGTACTGTAGTGCTTCTAGGCGCTTGTTCAGAAGCCTAGCGCTTCTTTGCATCATACGCAAGTACTTATTGGAATATATATTAATGACTCTTGCCAGTCTTTTTCTCTTTCATTTTTTCCAAACCAAGTTGATACTTTGATAGGCTAGATTTTGGACATGGTCATGATGGTGATAATATTGACATTGATATCACCAAGCCTTAATTGGCATCCATGTGCCCCTGCAAAGAGTTGAATGTAAACAGAAACCTGTACTAGTGAGGCATCTAAATTATAATGCCCTTATCCTTATCCCATTAAAAATCATTTGTCTTCCTCAGCTCAGGCCTCGTACCATTTATTTGATCTTCATGATAGGCTGCATACTCATAGTCCTTTGAACTTGAAGATTACCAGAAGAACGAAAAGAAGAAAATGAGTTTATCACTTATTCCTGCACACAACAAACCTTGCAAACTACCTTGATCTTCAGAGTTTGCTGCATCTGCAGGAGTCTTGACAAACTATTTACCTTTTCACTTGTTATTTTCAGTTGGCAAGCTGGACATAAATGCAATCAGAGCAGATGATGAATTCCATGAAGCTTTCTACCACCAACATTGATTAGTAGGGGTTGCGCTTGGAAGCACAAGCCAGCCAGCCAACCAGAATGTCGTCTACGGCCACACCCACTACCACATCCTCTCCCCCTGGGCCTGGTGTTTCAGGAACGGGGTCTTTTGGGGAGGTGTTCTTCGTGACCCTCGCGGTGACCCTTGTGGCATGCATCTGGATCCTCTACTTGGCCTTCTACAATGCTAGAGTCTCAGGCTTCTTGCTCACCAAGATCATCAATAAGTTCATCAAACAGGGCCATCTCCATGTTGGTGAGTATATTTTTATTGACTCTTAGAAATAGAAATATTTAATGGTCCATTTAAATGGTTTATTTCAATGAAAACACCATCATCATTTCTAGTACAATAAAAGTAAAAAAAGATTTCAAACCTAGACATGTATGTAGGAATTGGTGAATGTGTATTTGAGCGAATGAATTAATTTTACTATTGTTGCTGTTGATAATGTTATTGCTGATAATAAGCAAATAATTACCATTGGTGAAGGTGATGGGACAAATTATCACTTCCAAGGCGATCTGGATGTAGTTATTCGCTGAGGAAAGATAGCGTATGCATTCAGATTGCCGAGGAAGTGATGTTTGTCATCGCGTGAAACCAAAAGGTGATTATTTGCTTTATGTTCCACATCGGAAATATTTCACTTCTTCCGTTATTTTAGAGCAACAAGTCCTCAATTAACAGCTAGCAAACGGTGTATGATACATACTGTGCATGCATGGTGGTGTGACCAATTGGTTCGTGTGAGATCAAATTTTGTGTACTAACACTAAAAGTGCTTAAAGAGGAGAGCAATACGCAGCGTATACAATTAAAGTGCATTGCACTGTGTAGACAGTAGCCTATCTACACAGTGTAACAAATCGTAGAGCAAGATTCTTAGTATGTGGACTATAACATTTATTAGTTACCGGTAGAGTAGAAGAATAAGTAGTAATAGTAGTAGTAATAGTAGTAGTAGTAGTAATGGTTGTAGAAGAAGTAGTAGTAGACAGTGATGATGTTGAAGAACAAATAGGGACTGAGACAGAAAGCAAAATGTTGTTGGTTGTACACAGAGAGAAAGAGAGACAGAGGGAGAGAGAGAGAGATATAGAAATAGGGAGAGAAAGAGGCAGAAAGACAGAGAGAGAGAGAGAGAGAGAGAGAGACTTAACAAATCTTGAGGAAGCACATTCTCTAGTCTTATGTAATATGTAAACACTTGGGATCTTACCTTTATTTGTTCTCATTTTCTCTTCAAGGTTCCTTCTCTTTCTCAGTGTTGTCTGGAAAGGTGATGTTTTACGATGTGGCTTACATCACAGAAGACAGCACAATCAGGTAGGCTAATTGCAAATCACTACCTTTAACCCTATATAATCTGGGCTATTTTGAAACCGATAACGGGGAGGAAGCGGGGGAGGGGGAGGGGGCTTCTAAAGCCCCCCCCCCCCCCTATGATCTCGGCCAATCGCTGCGAAAATTTGCATGCATGTGAAGTGAAGTATGTATATTACTATGGTAGTTTAATTTTTTTGAAAAAAAATCGCTCATTTGCATGTTTATGCAAATAAGGTAATCAAATTCACATTTTTACCCATAAATCATATATTCATATTCAAACATTAGTTTTCACTACATATATTCTTTAGACCACTACTAATACCAACAAAAATTGGAAGAGCCAAGTTATTCCTTATGTCGTCTATTTTTTGATAATTTCTTATGGATTACTCTGTTTTTTCAACTTATGTATTTTATTGTTTTTGTTGTTTTATTTCATTACTAACTATAATTAAACTATTTTGAACCCCTAAAGAACCACCTAAACTATAAACAAGACCAAATAACCAATGTTTTATCTCTTTTTGGAACATGAGATTTCCATATTTTTTTTTACACAAATTACGAAAATGAGTGATTTTCGGGATGACATGCAAAGACAAAAGGTCATGTGACTTTGTAACTGTAGGTCCGATTTTCGAAAAATTTATTTGAAAAGATTAGCAAGACTTGAAAGAAAAAAGTCATAAAATTTCAGCGCAAGATTCTTTCGCGGTCAAAAATGATTGCTAAAAATGTAGAGGGGGGAGGGGGGCTTCTAAAGTCCACCCCCGGCTAGATAGGGTTAGGGGTACCCCTCCCCCTCACCCCCCCCCCCCCCGCAACATTTTGCTCTGGTGACAATTGCATTTGACTTTGTCACTGATATAGGACCATATCAGTCAAATAAATATTTTGTATATTCAGCAAAGAAAAAAGTTAAACATTAGTAAAGGTTGCAGACTTGCAGTAAGTCACATGGATAGCGAGAATATAAAAAAAGATTAACTAAATAATTGTAGTATAATTTGAAGATCTTCTTTACCGATTCCATGTGACTTTGCATGAATCAATACCAAGATACAACGAAAAATTATTTGGAAGTATACCCGAAAAAGAAAACAATGTTGCATTATGTACATGTATATGACTATATCTACCCCCCCCCCCAAAAAAAAAAAATTTAAAAAATGCCGGTTCAGAGTGTACATGCAATATAATTGACCATGTAAAGTGTTGGCTAACAGGTAAAGTGTGCATTATGCAGCCAGTCCACTAGATAACTGTCTCCTAATCAGCATGCATTCAAGATTCAAGTGAAAGTGGAAACCGAGAGTATCCGCACACAGGAAAAGGGGTGTAGCCTTCTTAAGATGAACTCATGTTGCACAAGCCTGCATTGCACACTGACATTCCTACATTTTGCATTAAAAACTCATTTTAACAAACTGTTTCTGCAACTTGCATAAAATATATTGGAAATATCTGCTTGTGAATGGATCTATAATATTTGCTTCATAGAAAAAAAAAGCAAGCAAGCAAACAAACAAAACAAACTGGAAACCCTCTCTTGTATATTAGAGTGATAGGTATATTTGTTTTGTAATATAGATGTTAGATTAATCAGCCTCGTAAATACAAAACTGTACTGATTAATGACATTATCCATGCATTGACGCAATTGAAGGTCAGTTGGCAATTTCAAGCTTCATCAGGCATTCAAGTAGCAATATGTGCATGTAATTCGACTGCTGTTCTTTTCCCAGGTAGACCTATTTATAAATGGGTGCCACCTGCAGAAATGCATATTTTCACGTTATTTGTTCTTTCTAGTGTAGTAGTTAATTATATTATGCATTGCTAAGTGTTTTTTTTATAGAATATTGTATTATAGAGTGGATTTTATAAAAATAATAGTAATGAATTTTATTTGAAAATGTGTTTATTTTAATGTAATCTATCTGTGTATGTTTTTGATATGAACGTTTCTGCAAACTTTACTGACATTACTTGCATATACAGACCGTATATATTCTTACATTTTATAATGTTAAAATTTGATTTGAATGGCCTTCAGTGTGATGCAGGTATTATATTATAATCACAAGTCTGCTTGTGACCTCGTTTGATTTTACAGTACACATGTAGTTCACTTTGTATTCAATTCAATTTGCTGTAAAATCTTTGTAATGCATAGCATGGATGCTCAAGGTCAGGTTTACATGTTTCCTAATGAAGAAAAAAAAATCATCATCATTATCATTTATACAGTAGCCTTAAAGGCCCTCTAAAGTGTTGGGAGCCTCAAAAATGTGATGGCAAAATTTCACTTAAATTGTATTGTGATATGAAAGAGGGTGTCATTTAATACACATTTCTGCAAGGATTTTCAAAACAAATGTGTTTGAAGTTGAATATTGATGAAATGATAATTTTTTTTAGGATATCTGCCTGCAACTGAAAACAATGAAATTGTATATTCTTTTATATATATTTTCTTCAAACACATTAATTTGGGGAAAATCTTTGCAGAAGCGTGTCTTAAATGACAGCCTTTTTCACATTATGATACAATAATTAAGTGAAATTTTGCCATTAAATTTGGGGCAAATTTGGAGCTCCCAACACTTTAGTAGCATTGTTCAGATGAGAGAAAATGGTGCTAAGGCTAAGGTAGTGACTTCAGTCCTAGATCTATGTACAATTAAAGATAATCTGAAAGTTTGAGTGAAAACGGACCATTATTAATGATAAAAACTGGGGAAAACTGATCTGATCGATTCCTTAATTCTCCCAACTATGTTTTTGCAATTTAATTACATTTAAGGTGAATGTAAATTGTCACAAAGCAATGAATTGGCTATATATCATTCCAGACATTTAAGTGTTGACAGATTTTTTATAGGCTGTTTTATGACTTATTTTCAAGGGAAAACGGTTGGGAAAATTAAAAAGTGGTTGGGAGGATTTACTGTTAATCACTGTTAAAGGTGTTGACCAGTGACACCTTTATAGAAAACCATAAATATCTTTGTGGTTTGAGGGTTTTCTCAGGATGTTTTGCCTGTTAGAGCATTGGTACAGTAGAAGGAATATAATAAGTAACATTTCATTCAAAAACTACACAATTTTGTCATCAACCTTCAACAATGTTACCAAGTCACTTTAACTTTCCATTTCCAGTGCAGTAGAATTGTATGATGCTATCATTGCTATCTTCTGTTCATGTCTCCTTGTAGAGCCCAGCATGGATTGCTGATATTCAGATGGTGGAGGCCATATACACCTTTAGGGGGGCAGGAAGGTAAGGTCATTGTGGATATTCATAATTTTCTTCACATTTTTTGTGTTGTAAAGTGCTTGAATGAGCTTATATATTTATATTTGTGATGAATATAAGTGATATGCAGTTTTACATACAGATAGATATTTTCTGTTATAGTGTTTCCCTTGAATTGTGTTTCTCATTGAAACATGTCCTGAAGCAACCTGTATATGTACATTAAAGACCACCTGCTTAAAACACCTGTTTTCTTGTATCCCTTGAGTGGCCTTTATACACAGGTTTCACTCTATTAAGTCACTTTAATTATAGTACAAACGTATCTAACCAACCGCTTTGTGATCTCTATTTTAATCATTAAGATATTCATATCTATAGGAGTGATAAGCTTATGAAACTCAGGAACTCTTTGATGAATTATAACACAGTGCCTGGTGCATGTAATATGCAATTCTGAATTAATTGAATACAATATTAGATCAAAGCCAACGTTATTCGATGCCTTTGAAAATATGGAGCCTTGGATCAGGAGCGGATCCAGGATTTTGTAGTAGGGATACAATTCTGTAGTGTTGTTAAAATTTGTAATTGAATTAAATTGAAAATAAAAATTGGAGAGGGAGGGGCATGCCTTTATGAGTTATTAATCAAGGTATTGAGGATGATTGGGTTTAAAGGGGAGGGGGGGGGGGGGCATTTAGCCTTGTTCAGAATAGATACATGTACATATTTTTAATGACGCAATGTGCGTTTCGCATCATATTTCCGTACCTTAAAACACAGACCTCGGTGAATATGCTAAAGACCTTTGTTGAGCATAGTTGCCATTCATTTATGAATCAACATAAAAAATACTGTTTTTTTTTGGTGGCGGTTTACCATGTCATATATCTGAACGCGCTTTTCCTGTGTCAGTGCTCTAGATATCATATTGGTTCTCATCTTTCCAGATACATCACAATGCGAGACGAGGCTGACAGTATTCCTGAGTAGCTGTGAAGTGCACTTCTACAACAAGACATCCCTCTATGCCCAGCTGGAGAAGGCCTTTGGTCTGCCTCCGGAGATGACATCTCACAGAGAAACAGAAACCAGAGACAGTAATGCTGAGTAAGTTTTTTCTTAAAGGTTCAACTAAAGCTTACCACAAACTAAATGATCCAACTGCCGTTTGCTTTTGAATAAAATTGAAAGACTATGAAATAGCAGCATTTATAATCTTTCAGATTGCGTTTCTTTATGGACATACAAACAGTAAAATTGCAATTATTAGTTACTGTTAATCTTTCTTTTGTTAAAAATAAAAAGCCATAACAATTTCAGAGTACAGACAGCAATATTATTGGTCTGACATCACCATAATCTGCAGTCGATCAGGCCTCTCTCATCCTTAAAGGCCAACAATACCCAACTATTGGGATTTTAATAATCATAAAAACAGTAGAAATCTCATTTAAGATATTTTACTTGTTATAATTTAGATACAATGTGCTTTAAACTGTTGACCTTTTGTCTGTAAATTTTTCCCTCTAGGAATGATGGAAGAAGTGAGTTGCAGAGAAGGCATGATGCTGCAGGGATTTCATGGAGAGACTTCTTTGGTGTCATCAAATTTGAAATCTCTGACGTAAGAAAAAAACGCTTTGAATTACACAATGAATTTTGCATTCCTCCAGCTAAGCCTTGAGAGTTAGCTTTGAGAATAAGGACCTACTATCTATTATTTAGATATTGAGGTGAATGCTCATATTACATTGGTGTATACAAACACAGCTACATTTTGAAAGGTACATGTTAAGAATAACAACTAGGTTATTCATGAGAATATTTCTTGAGAATGTGACAAATTAAACTTGTATCTAAAAAGACTCAACAAAGGATCTGCTTCAACCAGCCCACCTTTCATTCTTGAGTTACAAAAAACACAAAAAACATCAAATTTACAAAGGGTATGAATAATTGATTAATGTATATGTACAGTGTAGAGTTAAGTACCCATTTACTACACCAGAATATTAGTACAACAGCGGAACAAATCTTGAACCATGTGATTCACATTCCAGACCATGACACCTCTGTGAAGCCATAGTACATATATATTATAACTTATTATCAAACATCTATCAAATATCGCAAATTAAATTTCCTCTTCCCAGGGTCGTTTTGTGTTTGGCAACAAGCTGGTGCCGAGCGTTCTCATGCTGAACATTGAGGATTGTCACGGTATCTACACCACCCGAGAGCCAGAGTGTCGCTGGGACCAGTTCACACATGAGGTCAAATGCACGGCCGAGGGGTTAAGGGCCGTCCTAGCACCTAGCCCAAAGTATGACGGACCAGTAGATGAGTAAGTATGATCCATTCACTTCAATATATTTTGCCTCTTTCCAGGGTTTAACTTTAAAGGGATTGGGTAATTTTGTCTCAAATTCTGAAAACAAATTCTGGATTTAGCTCATGCTGCAATGAACCTTTATGTCAGGCAGTAACCCCATGACTTTTACAAGCCGATCACCCGTCTGATTATCAAGATATTTATGATTGGATATCAAAATTCAAAAATTTGTTTCCTAACGGTTTTTATAACACTACAGTCTATTGGTGGAAATGAGTATGGTAAAACACTGATAACACTTAGGGCCATGCATCTCAGATTTAATATTGTTAAACAATGCCTTTAAGTAAGGTTTGAGGCTGTTGATCTGAAACCTATTTCTAAGCATTTGTTTCGTGGACGTTATAGCAGGACCTCCTTGCATGTTTTACAATACCGTTATGTAGAAGTTCATGAGGAGCTCTCGACGACGTCATAGAGGATTGTTTATTGTGGTTAAAATGATATTGATACCGACGATGATAATGATAGTAGTGATAAGGAAGCTCATTTTTGATGATTTATTTTTCCAAGTCTATTTATTATGCCCGTATCACAATTACTACATGTACAGTCTGTAAAATTTAGTCTCCTATGTATTATTCTGCTTTTCTCTCTTTCTCTCTCTCTCTCTCTCTCTCTCTCTCTCTCTCTCTCTCTCTCTCTCCTTCTCTCTGTCTCTGTCTCTGTCTCTCTCTCCATCTCTCTCTCCTTCTCTCTCTCTCTCTCTCTCTCCTTTCTTCTCCTATTCAGGCCTCCAAGATACATGGGGGATGGCTTTGTCGTCATGCAGTCCAGTAAAGTTCAAATACATTACGTTCAAGATGAACCAGGTAATTGATAATAATAATAATGTTAATAATATCTTCATTTATATAGCACTCACACACGATTGGTTTTACAGCACTTTACAAGGTGTGAAGGTGGGAATATCAGTTAAATAAATACGTCTTCAAGTGCTTTTTTAAAATGTCTACTGTGTGTGCTGTTTTGATATTCAGGGGCAGTTGATTCCAGAGGTGGGGTGTATATGGTTGAAAAGCATTGTCATCTGTTAATCTTAGTTAATAGGCAGTGAAACTTGCTAGTGTTCCATGCTCATTTACAGCGTATATGTCAATCTTAACGTACTGTCTTTACAGCATTTTATTAGCTGTTATCTTTCACACACCACCAATGTAATGACATTAAGCACCCTAAAAAGAGAATAGTCAATGATGTCTGAGATAATCTCTTAATGACAATGCTAAATTTACATAATAGGTAATTAAGATGTTTATTAACGGACCATAAAACTACCTTAACTACAACTAACAATGGGTTATAGTCCAAATGTAATGTACTTGATGTGCAAATGGATGCTTGTGATTTAAAGTACCTTACAGTTTCCCAGATAACATCTTTAGAAAGCAAAGGCCAATAGGCAATTAGAAAATATTTTGTTTATTTTCTGTTGGTAATCATAACATTCTTTTATACTATTTTCTCAGAAATTGTGTTTGTATTGATTTCTAATTAAGGCTGTTGTTGATTCATATTTTGAAGAAAAAAGAAAAAGAAGTGTATGTAGTGGAATCAAATAATTAGAATTGATGCATGGTATTTTTTGACCATTTCAATGTCCACTTTGTTCTATCAAGGCCTTGTACCAACCCCAGAGGAGCTGATGGAAGAAGAGGACGATGACCAGCCATTTCAGCCACCGGTCTCGGTACTGGACATCACATGCCAGAAGAAGGGAACCCACTTCACATATGGACCATGGGCTGATAGACAAAGGTAACGATAGCCCCTTTCACATATGAGTCCTGATCATTTGCAATATTGTTTTCTGTTTAATCTGTTCTTTGCCACTAATTTAGTGAATACTAATCGTAAGTTGCTTCGTTGTCTCATCAATTTTTTATTTCAAAAAAACATTTTGTGAAGAGTAGAAAGTCTTGCAGCTTGTATTCCATTGATTAATTGGTATAAATTGATTTTGTTTGTTGGTTTTTAATGCATGACTGCTATTAAAGAAAGCATGTGTATGCTTGTAAGCAAGGGGACCTACAGCCTTAAGTCCTCTCCGAGGGACCTGGTAATGAGGATTAATGCCTTACCGGAGGGCTCTAGCGCATCGTCTTGGTTTCGAATCCGGGTCCTCCAAGTTACCACTCTGGGGGCAAACTATACAATGCATATTGCTAGTTTTTCTTAATCCATGCATTATAGGGGATGATTGGTCAGCTCATTTTGTGTGATCATATTTAAATTTTGAGAAGATAAAAGGATGCAAGACTATCCATGATGTTCTTTGAATTATTCCCCTTGAATCCCTATCAGGTATAGTGATGGGTCAAGGGGTAAAGTTAAGAGTTGGGTTAGTCTAGGAAACTGACTTGGAGCAATTGCCCCAGGAGCAAATGTCGTACAACCTCTATTAAGGAGTGTTCAGTTTCTGATGACAACTTTTTCAGTGATCAGTGCAGTTACCATGATGAAACTCATCTTTAGAGTTTGATACAATATTAGGAAATCAGTTTCCTGCTATTTCATCCTAATTCTTATCATTTTTGTCTTTGTCTGCAGGGAGTTTTTGATGAAGTTCTTCTACCCACAACAATACAACACACAGCCAGCCACCCCACCTGCTGTCCCGGGTGATAAGAGACAGTTTGAGAAACTAGACATCACCTTGAACATTGTAGAGGAAGCTACTATAGACATTCTCTTCACCAAGAACAAGGTTTGTAACTTTATTTTTTAACTTTATTGTATTATTCAAGATTCTTTTAACCCTTTCAGGACAGTGTTTACAGTATATTTAGGACTAAATTGATTACATATTGTTCTTCAAATGACAAACAATGATATTTTTCTTTTATTGTTACATTGTTCAAATAATATGTGATATCCCTTAAAACAATATACAACAACAAGAATGTTTTCGAAAAGTTGAAGATTTTTTTTTTTTTAATCAAAAAAAGAAATTAAAAAAAATTACCATTTTTAATAGAAAATCAATGACATTGAATCTCTCAACGTGTTGCCAATTCATTGGCTGCAAATTCCCAGCATAAAATGCAGTATAGACATGAAACAAAAATAGATGCTATGTGTTCAGAAATTTTTGCCCTTTCTACTCTTGCATGTGGCATATTTTTAGGGCTCTGAATCAAAACTTATCGAGCCAAACCACAAGATGTGGAAGATTATCGTGAAAGGGTTTATCTTGCAGAAATGGAATTCAATTCAGAAGAAATTTGTATAACTCAGCCTTCAGACTAAGTGGGCACTGTGTAATGATTACGTTACAAGATGTAAAGTGCTGGCTTCACACTGTTCCTTTAAGTAACCCTAAACTTTATATCATGTAGAATTTCATATCTTAAATAATAATAATAATAATAATAAAAATAATATTTTAAAGTCCACTCCAAATTTTATTAAATTAAACCGAAAGTGGAAATTCTTTTTGCCCAATTGATCGTGAGCCCGGCAGCCACTGAGCAGCGCCAGATCGACGTTGCTCTATCCCTTATTGTTGAACGCCAAACAAGGTAGCAGCAAATCCTGTATTTTAACGTCTTTTAAATTGACACTATTACCCTGGTAGTATCCATTTTCATAATCTTATCAAATAATCTTTAAACATAATGGATGTTAAAAATTTAGTATTAAATGAAATTTACATGCAAAAAGTCGCAAATATTTGCATTCACAAACCCACACATTCTCCTGACATTGGCATAAATAATGTTAATTGATGTATTTGTAATGCAGGAGACCAATGCATTCCACATTGACATGAAGCGAGGGTCATACATTGAGATCAGCATACCACAGCTGGTGGGCATCGAGGGATACAACACCAAGATCGTTGGGCAGCTTCTCCTCTTGGATGCGGATACCAGTCTTCCTTACAGATCCTTCATTAAGAGTGAGACGTTAGAGGTAAGCCTAGTAGCTCTTGTTGGAATGTTCCCCAGGGAGTGGAGAAAGTGCATACATTGTGTGCGGGCAAGTCAGAATCTAATGAACGTGGTAATAATGTAAAGCGCTCAGAAACTCAGACATTCCCGACATATTAAGTGCTATATAAGCAAAAATATTATTGCTACTATACACCTTTCCCTTTTTTGTCCCCATCTTTGCTATCAAGTTGTTGAACAATGGTCATCAATGAATTTACATGAGTTTAATACTTTTGTTTCAAACTTGCAATTTCAAAATGTCTACAGGAAAAGAGTTAGTGAGATATACTTTAAATTTCCCACTTTAACCCATTATGTGCTGCAAAGTTTTTTGACAATGGTCATCAATGAGTTTTAAACAGTTTAATACTTTGTTTGAAAAGGAATTAGTTAATGAATTCTTGCCAGGTACCATTTACCTTACCTTAGTAGTGTGGCAAATGTAAATTAAGGTCTTGCTAAAGGATATTAGTGATATGGCAGGGACTCTAAGCCCCTAACTTACGATCCATAGTCCGGTGACCCAACCACTAGACCTCTATATCTTCACTCTGCTTTAGTTCAAGGTGGATGTTCACTACCCCCGTGCATGGAATCACCCTCAGAACTGGGAAGTATCTCTGACGTTCAGCAAAGCAAACTGGTTCTTCATCTACGCCCATAAGGTCTTTCTTGCAGGTAAATGTGGAAACTACTGGAACCATGATTTTGTGCTTTCATGACTTAATTAAAATAATAATAATAATAATATAGAATTCTTATATAGTGCACATATCGACCTTGCAAGGTCCTCAAGGCGCTCCAACATTACCTGGCTATGCTAGGCTGCCGATTTCGATGCTTACAGCATTTTAATTAACTGTGAAGAATACTTAAAATTGATTTAAATACTAGACAGGCTTTTGAACCCAAGCTCAAAAAATATGTCACAGAGGAAGAAAAAAGGAAAAAGACAAAAAAAGGAATACATGTTTATGTAAAATTGAATCTAATATTTCTGTCTTTTTTTTCCTCCATGATATTTCCAACCGACAGCGTCATTTGTATTTTATATATTTACGAGTTTATGCATATTTCTATTTATTTGAGTATGACTTCATTTATTAGGAGGGGCTTCTACAATTAAGCTGGAAAGGAAGTAGAAACATGTGTATGTGTTATGATGTGGAAATAAAATGTACTCTATAGAATGGTAACAACTTATACATGAAACTCATGAACATGGTTTAAATCATAATTTTATCAAACTCTCAATACATGTACTTTGCATGAAATTGACGTCTCATATTTGATATATACATTGTATCTTCCAGATTTGATGTCTGATTGGTCGAGCAAAGGCAGGCAGGATCTGTTCAACTTTGTACCTTACACAGTGCGACTCAACATCACCCTACATCAGTTTGAACTTATGCTACCAGTCAATGAGTACAACTGGGTGGATTGCTCACATCATGAAGAAAATGGTAAGTCAATAATGCCCTCGTTGGAAAATAGGTTAATAGTCATGGTGCACAAAGAACTTTTACAAATATTTTCTCTTTTAATGAGTACATTTGATGGTAAAAAGGTAATGGGAGTGAAAATTGTTGGATATGGTAGCGTATTGTTCTAATGGCCTAAAAAAAAATCTACTTTCTAAATATTGAGTTAAGTTCATAATCAGGTGGGCTGTATAACGTACAGACCACCTTATAATTTCGTTAGAATTGCCTTTATTTATTTATTTATTTATTTATTTATTATTATTTATTTTACTTATTTCTAACCACTTTTTTGTGGACAAGATAACATGAAAATGGCTCAATCAAATGCCTTCAAATTTGGCACACATATGTATAGGCATATGTACAAAGCACAATAACGTTTTCAACATTGACTTTCACTGATGACGTCATCTAGGCGCCATTTTGTAAAATTTTACGAAAATCAACTTATGATCATATCTTCATAACCGAAAGCTATTTCTCATTCATATTTATCATGATCAAGGTCAATATCCGTCCGGTCAATTTCAGGTCAAAGAACGCGCGCTTGCGCGTACATCCGCGCGCAAAATTTTAAAATGCTCAAAATCGTCTTAAAATCATTTTGCATATGTTTTAGGCCATTCTAAGCATTTAATAAAAAATCGCGCACACGCGCATGCGCGCGCGTTTTCGCGCGTAAAACAATTACACAACATAGAATCGCCATTTTTTTTTCTTTCATAATATTCCACATATTTTTACAAACAAATTGATACCACGTTTGTCTCTTTATGACTATTAATAACGGAATGATCGACCGTTTAACATAAATTTGCGAGCTCTTGTAATACATAGCATATATGGGCAAAAACATGCCCATACAAAATCCATTGTAGCTCTTTAGGATGCAAGGTGACCCCAATTTTTTTTCATATTGTAAAAGAGTATGATTCAGAGATATTGTTTCATGTCTCATTTGACCCTCAATTAACTCATGACATCATAATGGCCTCCGAACTCAAAATTCCAATTTCCATATTATGACGTCAGCATATTTATGGATAATTTATTGTATATCTATAAATATTGATCGATTTCCTTCAAAATTTTCTTATGTTCTAGCTGAGACAATTCTCTACAAATGTAATTACTACAATTTTTCATTTTGACAAAGGAATCATGGCGTATTTTTGCAATTAAAGGAGGCATGTCAATTTTTAACATTTTGCGTGTATTCTCTATGGGACATGACTTTTTCTCAAAACTGGATTCTACATTCCCGTCTTTCGCGAGCAATATCTCCGTCGTTTTAGCTTCGTTTACGCTGAACTTTGAGTATGTTGTAGCTGAGACAATTAGCTATCTCTAATGTGCACTTCATTTTGTCTCAAATTTTAGTTGAACCAGCCCACCTATACTTGTTCCAAACAAGTATTACGAATCTAGTTTTGATTTATTCCAGTGTTAATATCTGAAAGTAGCCCACAATTATTAAGGCTACAGCTCATTACAGTCTACATCTTGTTTGTCAATGTTTGCATTGATTTATTTTATCAGTAGAGTGGCCTGTAGATGGGTATTAAGAGGGTAGGAAATATTTTGATTGGAAACTCTTCAGTAGTCCTGATTTTATTGATATGTCAGTCCTTACACAGATATATTTTCTTTGACTAGTATGCATTGGGCTTGTCGGTGAGCAGCTGGAGATGTCTATCGTCCTACAGTTTGCAGACTACCTTCCACAGACGGTACCCATCAGAATTCTCATCAAGGTAATGTGTGTGTGTGTGTGTGTGTGTGTGCGTGTGTGTGTGTGTATTGGGTTTTTACAGACGTGTATCAATCAGATATGATTATTTACGTCTGGGGACCGACCTTTAAGCGGTACCGTCCGAAAGAAGTGACTCAGTTTCGAACTTGCGTCTTCGGCTGAATCAGTTTGTAACTTCCAATGTTAGCTGGATTACAGGCCACAATGCCTAGTTAAATAATAAAACTGTACTTCACAGTCTGTGTATCAAGTCAAAACTATGCATTATTATGAAATGACATTGATACATAATAACCTGTAATTAGCACGTATTCAACATGCTCAACAGTTCCTTATTGCATGTGAGATATTAGTTATTTTAAAGACAAGCGATCAACTTTTTTCCCATTCTCTATCTTTTTCTGTCTGTCACATTTGCATTTTCTGATATCTATCCATACATTACTATCTCCCTTTAAATCCACATCTTGTGGCATGTATTTTTTGATATAGCCTGAATTATCATATCATTATTTTCTGTGGTATGCATGTAAATGTACATTATGGTATCAGACTGGTGCATGGCCAACCCTGAAATAAAGCATTAACATTTTACCTATTTTTTACCATTCTCGATGCCGCCAGTAATGGCTGCTGACACTTCCCTGTTCAGCTCTTTTAATCGGTGCATAACAGTATCACTCCATTATCTTTGACAGGCAGATGCGGTGTCAGGATACCTGTTCCTCCCAGACTGCTACACTAGTCAGCACCTCTTCACTGCACTGGACAAATCAGCCAAGGCATCCTGCAGCTACCTGGAGAACAAGAAGAGCATGGGGCTAGATCGCCATTATTGGAGGCACAATACCGATGAGTGAGTATCGGGGTGGAGCTGTATCTTCACAGACACCATACTGATGGTTCAGTTCACATTTTGATACACTCAGCTAAGTTCAGCCTGATGAAAAACATGACATCAAGATCAAGCCATCGTGTATATTCATAGATCAATTAGAATACGATTTGAGATGTCACTATTACATTTTATTACAGTTTTACAGACATTTGTTAAGCAATTGTTTTTATATCTTGTTTCACAATTGGCGAAATCTGTTTATAGGTTGAATTTCTGCCTGCTTATGCTGCAAAATCATTTAGACCATCTTCTGAGTCATGATGGTTGATGTACGTGTATACCTCGTGATGATCCGATAGTTGCTCTGGCGATAATTGCTCCAGGGTTAGGGCTAGGATTCGGTTTAGTTTGACACTAGGGTTCAAGTTAGGAAATCAATCAGTGTAAGGAATTGTCTGCAGAACAATTGTCACAGAAGCATGTGTCATACAATAGTACATACTATTAATTACAAAATAACATTTCACCACATGTGTAACTTTGTTTTATCCATTTCCCTTTTCATTCATATGTTCAGCCCCAACTGGATCGAGTGCGCCTGCGTACCCGTGGTAGCCCTGTGCATCATGTACAACTACCACCCCTCCCCGCTGGACGAGGATGTCCCCAGGATCGTGGTCAAGCAGGGTCCTAGGGGCAAGCAGCACTGGTCATCGGTGCCTCCACAGACCAGCTACGGGGGCTGGAGGAGGGGAGAGTCCATGGTCGATCCTGGATCCCTGTCTGCAGATAGTCTGCAGCTGGAGGTGGACATTGGTCCTCTGCTCGTCATGACCTATGGTCCGCTCATCAAGATGATACCATCACTCAAGGTAAAAAAAAAAAGGAGTAAATCTTTTTTTTTCTTCACAATGTCATGCAACTTAGATTTATTACTGTTATTTTAAATTGAAAGGATATATGAAATGTTATTTTCAGTAATATGTAAATCATATAAGTATCAGATGTACCCTAGGGGAAATCATATTGTTTATTTGTGCAGTCATTTATGAAGCTGCGTGTAGAGAGGAAGAGTCTATTTCTCATCCTTTGTCTTTACTCAATGATTCCTTCTAGATTAAATGTGAAATTATCCTGTTTCTCTAAGAAGCACTCCTGGTTGCTTGGTGAAATTTAACAGGAATATTTCTTAGGTTGATCCCGGACATGGTGGACTTTAAATCTCCACTGCCTGCAGAGGAGAGAGACAAGAATGTTCTCACACTTTTGCTTGACTATAACTTCCTAAAGAAGGCGAGTTGGCTCAGTTGGTAAAACGTCTGCCTGTCGAACCAAAAATCCCGGGTTCGACTCCCACCCTTTGCGGATGACTGAAGCCTGCGTTGTGTGTTAACATGCCCCTTCCTTGTTCATAGACGCTGGCTATGCTAAGTGGAAAACATCCCTTGGATAGGACGTTAAATGGAGGCCCCGTGTACAGGACAGTCACCACCCTTGCACGTTAAGAACCCACTGCTCTATTCGTATCAGAGTAGGGGGAAACCCTGGTGTAGTGGTCCACCTGCACACCCCAATCAGGCCGACTATATACGGCATCTGCAATAATCTTCAGAATTGAAGGAGGCAGATTATCTTGAAGAAGAGAGAAGAAGAAAGTTTCACATCATATTCTCTTCTTTCAAAATAATAGGAGGATTTCCTTGGGTTGAACCAGGACATGGTGGACTTCATGTCTCCACTGAATCGAAAGGCGAGAGACAAGAAGGAAGAGCCCACCAAGTATGCTGACAGCAGAGTCCTCAACCCGATGGCTCTAAGACCATTCAATATCACAGTGTCACTTAACATCGATGGCATCAAGGGCTTTCTTCCTAAGGTGAGTTTGTTTTACAATAGAAACACTTCAACCTTACAGTTTTTTAACTGTATGGATGGAAGAGGATGAGGGTAGTGGCACCATGGGGGTGTTTCACAAAGCCTTTTTTTAATGACAAATGACAAAAATCAGTGACAAATCTGCTGATAACCAATCAACATCACAAAGTCACTTAACATCGATGGTATCAAGGGCTTTCTTCCTAAGGTGAATACAGAGCTACCAAGTATCACGCATTAGGCGTGACATCACGCATTTCGAGGGTCTGGAAATGCTCTCACGCAAGACGTGCGCTAGATTTTGAAAAAACGCTATACCTTATAGGTGTGTTATACCCTCGCCTGCGCACTTGCCCGCTGAAACCATGCAAATGTCGCGCATTGCTGATCTTTGAACTTGGCGTCTCTGTGAATATGTTTGACAATAGAAACAGTTCAACCTTTACCTGGGGGTGTTTCCAAAGCCTTTTTTCAATGACAAATGACAAAAATCAGTGACAAATCTGCTGATAACGAATCAGAAGCAAGGATTTCAGTTGCTTATAATAAGAACTGTCATTTGTCACTGATTAAAAGTTTTGTGAAACACCCCCCATATCTATAGAGGAGGTACACACCATAGGAATATTCGTTATTAGGATGTGTAATTAATCTTTTCTTATGAATTTGATGTTTTGACCCTTGGTGTTTTTCCATATGCAAGTCATTTCCTGAATTACCAGTCCCTGTGTGTGAAGAATTTGTTTTTAATCTTCAGATGTTGAGCCTCTGGAGATCATATTCAGTTTCAAGGGTCATGAAGGATTCGTTATGATATATTGTATGAATAACAAATCCATTCATGTTCTACATGCTTATAATTATGTTACAAGTTGCATCGGGATCCCTGAATTGGGCTATATTTCTATCAATATGTAAATCAAGGTTCACATTATTGACCAAGAATATCTTGAAGGATCATGGGTTCCAAAGGTTTTAAGAACCACTTGCTTACATTAAAGCCCATCTGTAACAGTGTACAAGAGGGATTAGACCACCCTGCAAGGTCACTGGACAGGTGGTAATCTCATCAACTCAGCTCTCAATTAACATAAGAAAAAGAGGATCTTGGGGGACCAATGGTCACCGATTAGGCATTGTTTGTTATATAGAGGGCGCAAGTAGCTACAAGTAATGCAGTGGGGCTTTAAATGTGTTAATTTCACAACATAAATACATGTACATGTAAGTATTCCCTAGTAGGGTATAACCTTTTCTCACCTTGTCTTTGTATTGAACAGTACTGCAGCAAGGCTGACGTTGGTTGTGCAACCCTTGTGATGGAACAGCTGTGCTTTGAGATGTGCAGGGAATTCACACAAACCAAACTTCAGCTTCTCTTGTCTCCCATTCTACTCATGGTGCCAAACTCACCTTCTCAGGTACTCTCAAATTTGCATTGTCTTCCTTCTATTAGTGTTATAAATACTGTAAATACCAGAAATTGTTGAATCTTTCACAAATTGTTGTAGTCGTCCAGTCCCACAGCCATAAGATTTTGCAAATTGAAAAAACTTCAGTGCATTATTCGGAACTCAGACCCCTTTCCTGATCTTGTTATGAGTGATGGCTCTCTCAGTTGTTGTGCTTCTGTGCGTGACCTTGGTTTAAATATTGACAGCAATCTTACTTTCAAACAACACATTAGTAATATTTGTAAGTCTGCTTCCTTTGGTATATATAAGATCAGTAGAATCAGGAGGCTACTTGACCGACCCACAACTTCAAAATTAGTCCATGCTTTTGTCTCGACCCATATCGATTACTGTAATTCTTCTCTTTCTGGCCTCCCTCAGTCACATCTAGTCCCACTTCAAAGGGTACAGAATAGCGCTGCTCGGCTTGTGACTCTCTCGCGTAAATCAGAGCACATAACTCCAATATTGAACTCACTACATTGGCTTAAAATTCACCACCGCATATCCTTCAAAATTCTTCTCCTGTGCTACAAAGCTATCAATGGCTTAGCCCCCTCTTACCTTTCCGATCTCATATCCTTACGTTCCCGTACGTCGTCACGAACACTTCGTTCATCTTCCACATTACTGTTAACACCTGGACCCCGCACTAACACCCAGTATGGTGACCGCGCCTTTTCAGTTATTGCCCCCGCTCTCTGGAACAAACTGCCCGCCTTTATTCACTGCGCCCCCTCTGTATCTCAATTCAAATCTCTACTCAAAACCTATCTTTTCAAATTGTAAATTGCAGTTGTGCGTCGGTCAACGGAGGTGCGCACCATATTTGTCTTTATTTAGTTGATTGCCACTGTTTTTCTTACCTTATCTATGTTACTTTTGTATTTTTGCTTTTTCTTCTAATTTAATTCTACGGGTTATAGTCTTCCCTTAATCAGAACACTGTGCGCTTAGAAACATCAGTATTAAGCGCCTAATAAATGTTATGTATTATTATTATTATTATTATTATTCAATCATTTTGCTGTATGACGCTTTTGTGAACTTGAAACCTTTGTGACACTTGCAAAGTTCCATGCATGTGAAAGTCTAGCTTGTTAATATTCAAATAAACCAGTATCTAATAAGTTAGATTTCAGAGTATTGCCCCAGTTTTCTATTATCGTCTTGTATTAATCCTACTCTTTTTCAGGATGCCATTCCACCCTCCAACCAACCAGAGCGTGGCCAGATGGCCCTGTCTGGTCTGCAGCTTCGGTGCCATGCCATGTTCTCCAGAGCGGGGATTCCCCCTGATAGTGAGACAGTGGAGTATGCCTGGTTGATAGATCTACAGATGGGAGCATTGAGTGGACAACTCACCGTGGCTCAGGTTAGTTGTGTTATTACATGGTCAAGGAGGGGACTCCCCCAGAGTTAACATATGATCGAGGAGGGGATTTCCCTTGATGGTGAGACATTAGAGCATGTATGGTTGATAGACCGTTGATAGACCTTTAAATGGGAGCGTTGAGTGGATGACTCACCGTGCCTTTGTTAAAAATCTGTCTTAATGGAGAAAATATACATGAAGAATGTTAAATTATATAGATTGCAGACGAATGTTAATTGAAATTTGCAATAAATGTACGTTGGTATATGCCAGACATGTTAATGAGCTTAATTCTCCTTCCTAAAAAGAAGGGTTGATTCTAATTAATCATAAGTCTCCCAAATTATTACAAACATACAATCACTTATCTCTTTCAATTAGGATCTCTTGTGGCTTGCATCAAAGTTGTTTGTTGTGAAATACATGTATCATAGACCAAATTTGCAAATTTCCCCCCAAACCACCATGTGTTACAGAAATCTCTCTCCACTGATTATCTTTGCAGCTTCTTGCCATAGCCGAATCCCTCAGTCTCACTATCCCCCTCATCATCGACCCTGTCGACAACCTCGCCAAACCTGCTCGACCTCAGATGTGTGTTCACATGGTGGACTCAGAGCGGTGTGCGGCCAGGGAGGGGGGAATCTACCCCTCCCCTTGCGCCTCGGAAGATGACCTCAAGTATAGGGTTGTGAGGGTCGCCGTCAATGCTGTGCAACTCCAACTGGTAGAAAGCACCACTGCTTTAGAAATTAAGGTATATTTTTCTTGTGCCATTTCCACAGATGCCAACCAGTACGATTAAATCGTATTTAGTACGATAATAAGAGTGAAATACGATAATACGATCTCACCTCTTAAAATACTATCTTTCATTTTTTTGTGAAAAAATGAAAATAAAGTTAATAAATTGTTTTTTTAATTTTTTAAAAATTATTATTATTATTTTTTTTAAACCTGTAAAAACCATGGAATCGCATAGAAACATGTACAAGTAAACCCCCACAACCCCAACAAAAGCTTTGCTTTACAATTTTCTCATTAATTTTTAATTAAATTTTAATGAAAGAGGAAACATTTTACTTGACCGTACTTACCAGTAAAACATTTTTCTGAAATTTTCCTGGCCCGGGGCCAACAGGCCAGTGATAGTGTCGAGTTTTCGTGAAAATCTGATTTTTCTCTCCAAAATCTGATTTGTTAGGATACTCGGTCTGTTTTTTGTGTCAAGAGGTTTTTATTCATCAAAATGTTTCTCTACCATCATACTGTCATCTTATTTGCACTTTTTTGTTTTGTTTAATATGTAACTGTTTATCAGTTTATTTTACATACATTTAAAAGTGAAATTAAAATACAGAGCTGTCAAAAGATGTTAGAGACTTTGGTTGTAAGCATTTTATGTAACATTTTTATTATTATTATCTTTCAATTTTCAGGTAAATCAGATTCGCCTAGCTACGTGCAATCTCCACAGTGAAACAGTAGGAAGTGGGCTGACTGCCCTGGTCAATCACATAGACATTCATCAGTACTTGCTCCAATCAGATCACCCCTCCTATGGAACCTCATCCAAGCGTCCTCTACGCTCTGAACCACTCCAGAACTGGCTTGAAGTTGGGGCCATCAACCTTGGGCCAGTTTGTGTGGACTGTGTCGGATTCCTCCAGGAGGTCTCTGACTATCGTATGCAGCATTACTTCCTGATGATGCATGATGAAAAGACAAAGAGGCTGTGGTTTTTATGGCCTCCAGAGAGCTTAGATAGGGTGTACCCATCGTCGGTGAAGTGTGGTTGCCAGGGTGGTTGTGCATTTTTCTCAGACAAGCCATACGGGACACACTTCTTCAAGGTCGTGAACGGAACACATTCCCAGAGGAGTTCCTGGAATGATGAGTTCCAGCAGAAGGAGAGCGATTATGGCAGGAGTCTCCTTCAAGAAGGAAAATGGGTGTTCTCTGTCTGTGACCGCACTCCTGCAGACTCGCCCACGAAAGCTTTCAAGTTTACTCCAGGATGGGTAGGACTAGCCAGTCCCACATCCCCAGGTGATCAATATTGGCCGACTGAAGAGAAGAATGGAGAAGAATCTGAAGAGCCTGTGGAAGCCAAGAAGGAGCAGTCTCAGAGCGAGTCTAGCCAGCAGTCTTCAACCGGAGGCATCCTGAGAAGAGAATCTCAAAGGTCACAGCAATCTCATGTGTCTCAACAGTCAGACAGTGCTGGTAGTGCTGTCCGGAGCAGTATCTGCTCAGAACCAACATCGCATCAGCATTGCGATTCCTCCAGTACTATCAGCTCGAACACGGCCCCAGTAGATGCACAACTCGTGGGCAGTTCTCACAGTCTTCCTGTAGATTCGCAGCAGCAGCAACAGTCTGGAGTTCCTCCTCCTCCCAGAAACTACAGTACAGATACCATGTCAAAAGCTGGCAGAGCCATGCACTTTGAACAGTATCCTCAAGGACCAGACAGGACACGAGCCAGCTCTATTGACTCTCCCACCAGTGGTGCTGACAGCGAGTACTTCTCTGCAGGAGAAGATAGTACTTTGGCAGCTGCCATTCGCACCAGTAACTCTTCAACCAGCATTCCATCAACTGTCCACCCTCCCACCGACTCTGGTTCCTCTCTCTCAGAGTTCAAAGTTCAGTCCACCATTTCCAGTTCCGATCATCACAGTCCAGAGCAGATGGACTCTGCTACCTCCACCGAGTCTTTTGTCTCTGCGGCATCATCTGAAGACACTCTGATCAGAATGCGAGATGAGAAGGATGGAACGGTGAAGCGCAAGGATCTAGAGAACCACTCTCCGTACTCTCCCTACCTGACGAGAGTCACCAGCCACCGATGGTCGGTGCCTCTCAGCCTGGAGAGCTGGAAACAGTATGTGAACTTTGACCCGGCGGACATGACACCTTCCAGCTCCATGTACCAGGCATCCATACAGATGATGGGGTTCGTGAAGCAACAGCAGGGTGTGAGTCCAGAGATCATCACAGCAGTAGACTCTGATATCACTTCATCAGACAGTGAAGATGTCAGTGACCATTCCAGTGTACGGCATGCGAGTGATCACAGGGATGCAAGCCTGCAGGATCTGCATGAAAGACTCTTTGCTGCAGAAACGTCACATACAACTAGTAAGTTCAGTTTTTACCCTGTATAGTGTTAATGTAGCACTTAGTAATGAAGCACTTGACTAGGGCTTACGACTGAGTTAGAACATTGCCCTGTTATCATCGATGATCAGATAATGAGTATCTACACATAAATCCAGTCTAAAATTTGGAATCAACTACCCATTTTTAGACCAAAAAAATAAAGGATAAAAAACAATCCCGTTAGAAAAATGTCCTGTATATAGAGATGCTTCATGTGTGGTTTATTTAGCTATATTAGTATCTCATCTTTCGGGAGCCCAGAGGGGACTCTCTCTGTGTAAAAGCATATTTCATTGATGCCCATGAGATTTTGAACAGACAATCTTATGAGTCTTTGTTCTCTTTCCGACCTATATTGCAGCATCAGCCATCAAGTTAGAGCCATCATCAGGAACATCAGTCTTTGCTGAGATCCAAGGACCTGTCAATGTGCTTATGACTCCTCTACTTCTAGTTGCTATCAACAGGTAAGTATAGGTACTGTTGTTGACAGTCCTTTGGTATAGATTTACATTATTTGTCAACAGAAGAAAATTGTAAACATGTTTCCATTTTTTGACCAAATATCAAGTTAACATTAAGACGCGCTCCTTCGTCAAAAATCACCACTTATACTTGAATCTAAGTGGATCCATCAACAAAGTGAATGTTCACTGTGGAATCTTGATATGTAAGAAGACGATGCAATCCGAATGGGCAATTGTACTGTGTGTTGCAAACTCTTAAGTCAAGGGAAGTTAAAAGACTTTGGCAGATGGCATATTTGGTGACACATGAGGATTATTCAATAACGCAATGGCTTTGCTTTTTGTGTTCACAATTTTACTTTCATTTTCCTGTTCTGTTCATATTTCAAATGTTTGTGAAATATACAAATAATTAACTGAAATTGACATTTTTCTCTCTACAAAGGTATGTGGATGCTGCCAAAGCCATCACCACCAGCCAGCATCCTGCCACCCTCCTGTCCTCCCTCCACCACTCCTGCATCGCCGATGTGGAGTCCCTCTTCCTCCGAGGCCTTCTACCGGAGGGTGGGAGCAGCTCCAGTCTGTCCAGGCAGCAGCAGCAAGCCTCAGCTAACTTCAACAACAATGCCGACTCCGAGGAAAGAGAGGACGGCACTAAGACAGTCACCATGACGGTCAAACTACCAAAGGTCAGTCCCTACCTTTTAGAGTAGCGTTTGGAAACAGGATATTTTGACAAATCATAGCATACACCCTATAGTAATGATTGATGAAAAGTTAGCAATTCATGGTTGTTGTTTAAAAATGTATATTTGTGTCGAAGTTGACTTTCTTGTTTTATTTTTTACTTTTTCTGGGTCAATTTATGTGTCCTCCAGGACCTTTAGAAAAAAAAAATAATAATAATAATAATATTTAATTTTTAATGTTGATGCTCCTTATTTAGAATAAGGGCAAAGTATTTGATATAGTATATGTATTGAACCTGTTATAAGCTAAAGGCTAACACATGATAAGGTGGACTCAATATCCACAGTTTATCATGATTTTCTTTGTGGAAATGTGACTTTCTTTATTTATGTCTTTTTTATTAGGTCAATTTGTGTGTCCTCCAAGTTCCTGAAGATGGTGTGGGTGTTCCCAGTCTGACCAGCAACAATGCTTCCTTGCTGATTGCTCAGCTTGGTTCCTCTGAAGCTAACCTCTGGATCAAGCAGATTGACCGGAGCATCAAGGTCGAGAACCAGAACACTGCGGGGAAGAAAGCACCTCAAGACACCCAGGCGGCCGTAGCCATGGGCGCTTCGGAACAGAGCGACCCGACAGTCGTCACCCTGATTAAGTTCTTCAAGCTTCACGCCCAGCTCCGCAGGCTTGCCAAACCTGGAATCAAGACCATTGAGAGTCCTACGGCCATTCCAGAGCAGTACACTCAGGTGCAGTTCACCTTATCCTCAAAGGTTCCTCCCAATGTCAGTGCGGATGAAGCAGACTCCAGGTACTCTTCCCTCCCAAGGAAGCGCAGGTTATCCGTCCACATGCCAAAGTCCTGGATTATGGCAGAGAGCGGGATGGAGGAGATATCCATCAAGTGTGGTCGACAAGGGGGTGACATCCCCCTCCCCAAGATCAAGCTGGCGGGAGACAGCAAGAAGTCTGAGAAGAGAACGGACAAAAAGGAAACAGGTTCTTCCGGCAAGAAGAGGACAGATTCATCTTCTTCCGCAAGGGAAGGCAGTGGGAAGCGAAAGAGGAGGGATCGATTCAGCTCTGGAGGCAGTAGCCTCGAGAAGCCACCTGATACCAAAGAAAGAGGCTTGGACTTTTGTATTCATATCAGTAGCTTCTGGTCTCACCTGCCCACCCCACCTCAACCAAAGAAGGAATCATTTATCCAAGGGTAAGGACACATCTATGGCCTTCTTTCTGCTTACATTTCTTTCTAACTTACATTTATGGAAATTTAATTTTTGATTCAAAATGCGTAGGCCAGGGTCATCAGATTTTTCAAAATATGAAATTGCTTTGGCAAATTTTCATTAGAATTCTTTTGGCAATTGATCTAAGGAATTTATGTAGAATTTGAGTAATCATGGATTGAATATCACATTCCTATTTTTCTTTTAATGTACATGAACTGTGGACACCCCATCATATATGTATGTTTACTATTAGTTGTGAAATTACTAGTATGTAAAATTGTCAGCTCTTTAATTATTTGATCATACAAAGTGAAATTTGTCTACCTCCTCCAGACCCAGTATTACACTGTTTCATTGAGAACAGAGAAGAACAACATGGTTTCTTGGCAGCGGTAAAACCTACACATGTACTCCTTCAAGAAGCAGGCTAAAACTTCAAATCTCTTGATGTATCATGAAATGACATCTGGCATCACACTAGCGATTTTATTTTCGATGATATAAGTTGTCAGGCATAATCCGTCTTCGGGAATTTTTTGGAGAAAAAAAATTGACTCCACCTCCATCTCTTTCTTTCTGGTAGATCTGATACGAATCTGCTGACCACAGCCTCCCCGGCCCTGGATGAGTGGCTGAGGGCGATGACAGGGCTGACGACATCCGTAGGAGACATCGTCGATGCCAGGCACTTCCGCAGCTGTGCACTAATGGCTTGCATCATGGCTGAGGCCCACGACAATCTGGAAAATCATCAACCACTGCCAAAGGCAAGGAAATGCTTATATTCCCACGTGTTTGTTTTACCAAATTCAATTAGATGTTCTCGTGCTTATGTAAATAAATATCTTACTGCAGTCATTGTTGTATTGGAAACAAGTGAAATGTAATATCAAACATGTACTTGTGTAGGGGAAACCTCAGTATCATCCTAATTCTGCTATTTACATGTAGCTTTTCGTTTGGAAGTAGATGTGCTACATTACATAGGAAAAGCAGTGTGCATAGACATCTGAATCACTATGTTTTAAGTCCTGTTCATCTTATTTAAATTGATCTTTTGGCATTAAAAATCCACACAAGAGTAGAGTCTGATGTATGACAGACTATTGACATTCACAGTAATTACTGTGTTTAAGATTATGTAATTGTCTGTCTTCTATCTTTAAAACTTGTGTTATTTTTTATTTGTGTTATAATTTACAGAAGAAGCAAACCAGATGGGCAGCCATATCAGATGCCATGCTGCAGGATCTGTCTTGCCAGCTTATGGGCATCCTGTGGCGCTACCTTGCATCAGCTGACTGGCAGAAGATCGAGGAGATAGTCTCTGGAGAAGATTTACCTGCCCTGTCATCCTTGGAGAGTGGTACCAACACCCTGATCAGACAATGGAAGGTCACACTTTCCCTGATCAACCCTCAGGTCAATGTGGCACGCTTCCCGCAGCAGGTGGCGGTCTACAAGTCCCCCGAGGAACGTGGACTCTTGATGGAAGATGAGATGTGGACGCCAAGGCAGATCAGCGAGGACCCAATGTCTGATGTGCCTCCTTCCGCTGGACATACTGGAGACAGCGAGCTGATGGATCCTTTGACACTATCCCTGTATTCAGATCGGATTGGTGTAGGCCTTCAGAAGAGCATCTATGCGGAGTTCTCCGGGAGAGTTCAGCCACACTCTACTGATTGGCTTAGAGAGATGTCATCTTCTAATAGACATAGGGAGCAGAGCGGGGATTCTGCAACGCGCTATCGGTCCTTGACAAATACCAGTAATGCTGGTTCGGCTTCAGGGACTTCAGCCAAGAAGTGGAAGGGAGGCTACAAGACTTTGGACGAAGAGGACAAACATGATGCCTTCAGTCCAGCTTCAAGTATGTGCAGTGATGATATCACAGATAACCTGGACAAATCTAATCCACGATTAATTGATGATGATGATTTTGATGGAGGTGGTCCTGTTGGCAATTTAGACATTGATTTGGAGAGTGGCTCAGCTTACCTAGTCCCAGGCACCACTCCTGCACCGAAAAGTCCTGTAGTCACTCCGACCGTCCAGCAGTTTGGTGATGCAGACACCCTCTTCAGACCACTCCTCACCAACCTTGGACTCCACAAGAAAAAGTCCTCTCAGCCGCTGGCCAAGTTGATTCAGTCGGTCGGTCAGGTGTCCTTCCAGTTCAAGCTGGATCAGTTCAGGGTTGTCATCACCAAGTCCAGTTCAAAGCACCTTCGCAGCACCCGTGCCCCTCGATCTGCAGACACTCCTGCCTTCCTTTGTGAGAAGATCCACATCCGTGCTATGATGAGGGAGACCGCTCCTTCAGAGAAGAGTGAATCTTTGTTCAAAGCAACCAGTACTACATTCTTCAGTGGCAGCAGTAGCATTGAGATCTGCTGTGACATCCATGTGGGGTCCGTTGTCCAGGTCATCAACATGGCTATCTTGAGACTCCTAAGTCAAGTAAGTTTGCCAAATCTTTTTTGGTTCTTGTTACTCAAAATTTGCTACATTGCTCTGTCACATAAAGAGTTGCAATTGATCTGAATTGATCATTAAAAAAACGTGTACAGAGTTAAGGTTGATATCAATTTCCTGTTAAGTTATGATCCATTCACATCGATTACAACCTGTTGGGGAAAGGGGTCCTGTCAGGAAGGTTGAAATGCAATGAGCAGAGTTTACCATGTGTAGAAAAAATTGTTTAGAGCAAAGGCATTACATAACAAATGCAATAATCATACAACTTTCTTGCTGTGCTAGGAATGCGATTTTATAATTCTGTAACAGTTTCTGAATGTGGTCAGCATATACATACAGTATTATGTATACACATTTATTTGTCACTCTTCAAGTCTACTTATACATGTATGTGCATGCAAATATCCTGATCCCAGGTCATTCAGATGGTGGAGAATTTCCAACATGCAAAGACGGATCTCAAACTCAAGCAATATGTATCGAGCATGCCCCAAGGTGAGGGAAGCATAGCAGACCTACGCGTCAGGGCCGCTAACAGCAGACACACGAGAAACCCTTCCCGCCGAAGCAACAAGGTGTTCACACCGCCAAACATGGACACCCTCGGGCGGACGCGCCAGAGCTCTCAGCGCAGTCGAAACCTCAAGTTTAAGGAGCACGAGACAGCCAGTCTCTACTCTACCGCTGAATCGTTCGACTCGCATGCAGAGAGCGACAGCATTCCAAAGTGCTGGCAGACCATGTACCATTTGATCAATCTTTACTCTGGTGTGAATGAACCCGTTAGCATTGCCACGACCCATGTCTTTGTGAATCCACTCTTCAGTGCAAAAGGGAATGAGAGAAGTGGGGGTATGATGGAGGGAGTGCAAGACCTTGGACTTGGCATGCCACAAGATAGGTATATTTTTTTACCTTATTTCAAAGTAAAAATTTGTTTTATATCAAGGGTACGCTAATAAAAATGTCTTAAGTTGATGAAGTGTATTTACCTGTGGACTGCTAAAATGGTGATTAACAAAATAATCATAATATTTCTTTAAAATATGACTGATACATACTAAGTACAAACTGCCAATCATCAAAGTTAGTACCCTCTCTTATACTGATATACTTGTATTCCCCTGCACTCTTTTGTTTTCAGAAAGTTAGTTGTCCTAGGGATTCAATGTCCTGGACAGATAGTTTTTTAGATGGAAGTTTTCCAGGGGTAGTTCTTAGGGGGGTTCGTATCTTGGGGTTGTTGTGCTGGGGTATTTATCTTAGAAAGTATGTCATCTTAAGACATTTATGTCCTAAGGGGTAGTTGTCTAGACAAAAGTTTTCAAGGGTTTGCCGGTCCATGGGATAGTTGTGTGTTTAAAATCAACATTTAGATTCGATTGAACCCTTTTCATTTTCACGTTGGTGTTAACAGCAGTACTGTGATCATGAATTGTAATTCTGAATTTTAGGGTGCAGTGACACAAAGACGCAACTCCATATTTTGCCAAAATGAGTATTTGTTATCAAAATGTTCAGAAAAATGTGGGCTTTCCAGGAAACACAAAGACTGAACTCCATCGAACACCCCATTAAAGTAAATGGCTAGTGAAACATCGTCTTAACTCCTTAAAACCCAAGTGCTCAGTGACACATAAACCACTTTTTCTCACAATGGCCAAAATGGAGTTACGTCTTTGTGTCACTGATCCCACAAATTTCTGTTTTAATAATAACCTGTCCTTACAGAGATGCCTTAGCCATGGGTGCCCTTGATGATCTAGACGGCACTGCTGAAGAGGCTATCCAGCCCAGACCTGACATCGAGGGTCTGGAGGTGTCTCTCATCGGGACCATTCTTGTGGATGAGGTCTGTCTTCTGGCCCAGTTAGCTGGACTACATCTAGAGGCTGATACGACATACATCACTGGCAGCTTCTCCCTCCAACAGACTTTGCCCATGCAAGGTATCTGTCGATTTAATGTTACAAGCACATTGGAATGTATTACTATGCCATATAAATGTAACATATTATTATTATTATTATTATTATTATTATTATTATTGTTGTTATTGTTATTATCAATGTAGTTATCTAAGTTACATGTAGGTTAGATATACTTAAGTTATGCCACCCAACAAACTTTAACATTGAGGGTTCTGTGACACAAAGATGTAACTCCGTTTTTTGCCAAAATACCCGGTAAGTATTTGATATCAAAATGTTCAGAAAAATATAGATATATGTTTATAAGTTTGATTCTGTGAGAGAACTGAGGAAATGAATGAACAACTTAATCTGATAATGCTTCCTAAAATAATAATATTAATCTACCATCTGTGTTCATTGTACAGGCTATGTACCAGCTGCCTTGTGGAGGAAATTCCCCTCCATTGGAGCATCACTTCAGACAACAGCAGTCACGCTGGAACTATCAGAGAAGGCCAAGAAGGATTTCTAGTGAGTACTGTATATTAGTGGAGCGGTCTTACAACAAGCCAAGCTTTGCATATACAGGCAAACCTGCTTTAGTGACCACCTGTATACAAAGACCACTTTTTGTGTTTCCCTTGGGCGGTCGCAACAGACAGGTTTGACTGTACATGATCTTTAACTATCATATTAAATGTAGATGCTGCTTGTAAGTGTCGGCTTGCATGGTGATGTAGATATACAGTAGGTTTGCGGGTGCACCATGTGTGAGAGAGAGAGAGAGGTTTGAGGAGTCCTGAAAAGGACTCTGACTCAGTAATCTTTCTTGGAGGAGTGTAGTCCTGAAAAGGACTGTTTGTTATCTTTCTTAGCATATAGTTCTAAGGAAAACTATAGCGCTTGGAGAGGATGAGTGGCTCGACGTTTCGAACAGGTTGACTATTCTGACGACAGATAGTCAACCTGTTCGAAACGTCGAGCCACTCATCCTCTCCAAGCGCTATAGTTCTCCTTAGAACTATATGCTAAGAAAGATAACAAACAGTCCTTTTCAGGACTCCTCAAACCTCTCTCTCTCTCACACATGGTGCACCCGCAAACCTACTGTACATATTGAATGTAGTTGATCGACCTCTCATTACCTAGGTGAAGTAAAGGGTTACCTACTAACCAGTGCATCATATCCCATTTTTGTGTGATAGAATAGTAAGTTCGTTCCTGTTTTCACGAAGTGATGGTAGTGAGGAAAATCCGCACGCAAATTGTATGCGATTTTTAATCACTACCGTCACTTCGTGAAAATAGGGATGAGTTGTTGTGGGACTATCAGCATTGTTATCAGTACACTCAAGTCTATTATTGTCAGTTTGCTTTCATTGTCAGTATTGTCATGCACATCAAAACCATCACTGTTTATCCCTCTACAGCACCATCGCCAGCTTGACCATCGACAAGCCTCAGTCCACCGTCTCCCTATCGGGTAGCCTTGACCATCAGAACCAGGTGTCTCTGGCCACCGGAGTGGACATGGTCAATCTGACCGTCCCAATGAACCTGTCCGTACTCAGCGCCGTGGTGTCGCGGAGCAGCAAGAAACTGGCGCAGCGGATACAGCAGCTCAAACAGACTCAGAAGAGCTACAGGTCAGAATTGTTGGACAAACAGAACAAAGCAAACCATTATACACTTGTATCACTGATTTTATTCTTTGAAATACATGTATTTTATACACGTATATGTCAGTAAATGTAATATTCGTACCCCTACTGTATGTGTACCATAAGTTACTCTTAAAGCCCCACTGTTCTACTTGTAGCTACTTGCTCCTTCTATATAGAAAACTTCCCCAATCGGTGCCTGTTGGTCCCCCATGATCCTCTTTTTCTTATGTTGAGAGCTGAGTTAATGAGATAGCCACCTGTCAGTGACCTCGCTGTGTTGTCTAATCCCTTCTGGCCCAGTAGTATTGACAGTCTTTAAAGGCCAACTGTACTACTTGTAGCTACTTGCTCCATCTATATAGAAAACAATGTCTAATCAGCGACCATTGGTCCCCCGTAATCCTCTTTTTCTTATGTTAATTGAGAGCTGAGTTGACCAGTCAGTGACCTTCCTGGGTGGTCTAATCCCTCTTAGCCACACTAGTACAGATGGGCTTTAATTCATGTCTTATGGAGATTGTTTGACACATACCTTGACTACCATGGCTGTGGGATCAATTTCTGGCACCAACTTTATTCTTTCCTTCAGCCCTAGACCCAAGCCTTGACCTGACCATCAACCTGACCCTCAACCTGACCCTAAACCTATTACCAGAAACCAAATCTTATTGCAACACAAGCTTTAGCCTTACATATTTTAGATAAAATAATGCCTGGAACAAATGTTGGAAAACTTATTGACACTTGGAAATCTCTGAACCTATACCTAAAATTTGTGTGCATACATGAACATCTCAGTTTGCGATGTAATAACTTGGATTATTCTTATTTACTTGAATCAGATCAACCCAGGAAGAGGTTGTAATAGCTGCGGCGCCCTCTAAGCCCAGTCTGTCAGGAAGCAAGATGGATGAGACATGGCCACCTGGCAGGGCAGAGGCAAGATGGACGTTGAACGGAGTCACTAGAGTGAAGACGGTGGTACTCCAAGCATCGGTTCTTCCACAGTTACAGGCGCAGTATACGGTAGGAAATATTTGTGGTTCTTGTTTCAAGGTCTTTGAAAAAGATTTAAATATTGAATGTATAAAAATGCACTAATTAGCTTCAACAATAAAGAGATTAAATGCTGCTTGTAAGTGTCGGCTTGCATGGTGATGTAGATATACAGAAGGTTTGCGGGTGCACCATGTGAGAGAGAGAGAGAGGATTGAGGAGTCCTGAAAAGGACTCTCGGTAATCTTTCTTGGGGGTGTGTAGTCCTGAAAAAGACTGTTGGTTATCTTTCTTAGCTTATAGTTCTAAGGAGAACTATAGCGCTTGGAGAGATTGTAATTCAAATAATTATCTCAAGTTGGAATTAAGGAACCAGTAAGACAAGTCTGGTTTTACATCAATTCTTTGGTCAAGGTCAGTTAACATGATGAAAACATTTTATAGCATTATGATGATTATAATTTGCATGATATGTAGATTAGCTTCCATCCAATATAATTTCCAAATTCATGCCTTCTCTTTCATTCTTCCATTTCAATTCTGTTTGATCCTGTGAGGATCTGTCTGTCCCTGGCAGAGGACAAAATTATCTCCAATTAGATTTTTTGTTTATTCTTCCTTTATTGACTCAGATTGATGGTACATCAGGGACTGCTTCATGGGGTGAAGAAGGAACATTTGCAGCCGATATCACAGAACATTCATTCAAGTTCATATCCACAGTAAGTTCCTTGCTATATACACTATGATAGTGTTTGTTAGGGTTCAGCCTTGGCATTTTGTTTGTGTGGCTGTTTTTTCTGGTCTCATGATTAAAGTTTATCTTTTTTCCAGTGAAGTTATTTTGAATATAAGTTTGCACTTTGATAATTTCTTTGCTACCATTGTCCTTGAGATGCAAAGGAGTATGCTGGATTTAGCATTGTTATTTTCAGTACGGTTTTTGTAATGTTGCTCCATTATGTGTTATTCAAAAATTCATTTGCACAAGTTTAGAATGATAAGGGACACTTTTTCCCCACATGAAATAGCATGTTCAATTCCTAACATTATCTTAAAATCATTGCATAATTATTGTGATATTAATCAAGGTTTTGTGATATTGTCTTGATAACACAAGAATGTTGAATACATGTAGATCGTTGATGATTCTCCATAACTGAAAAGATCAGCCATTGAGAACGACACATGGACATATCCCTCAAAATAAAATAAAACTATGATTATCTTATGTACTAGGTTCCTGCAGCTGAGTTTGGTGCTCCTGCTAAGATCACCTTCCCAGGGATCCATTTCAAAGGTCGCTACGGCCTGTACGACGCTCAGAATGAGAGCAGTTCGACCACCACCACCACGGCCAGCTCTAGACAGGGTAGCAACAATATTCTAGAGGCTGTGACGGAGATACAAGCCTTCCAGCACACCCTCTCACCTGATCTTGTCAATCATCTCATCACTGTTCAGAAAGTCATTCTCAAGGTATGATTATGATGTCGTCAGCTTCCCCGCAGGGGGTCCTTAAACACTTGCAGTGCTCTTGGCAGTTTCAACTACCCTAATACAGCAATAATAATAATTATAGGCATTTATATAATAATAATTATAAATAATTACAGTACTTATATAGCGCCTAACACTTACTTTGTCAGAAGTCTCTAAGCGCTTTACAATAATGCAGCATAATTACCCTGGCTTTAGCAGTGCAGCTGTTACGCGCGCTGCATTTCAAGGAATAAATTCCTACCAGGTACCCATTTACTTCACCTGGGTGGAGTGTGGCAAATGTAGATCAATGTCTTGCCAAAGGACATTAGTGCAGCGGCGGGACTCGAACCGCGGACCTTGTGATCGACAGTCCGGCGACGTATCCACTCGACCACAACACCTCTACGATCTAGACAATTCTATTCCGTGGCGCACAAATTAATTATTACCCTAGGCTGGCTTTATCCTAGTTGCCATTACAGTGCTCTAGCATTTCAAGGAATTAATTCCTGCCAGATACCCATTTACCTCACCTGAGTTAAGTGTGGCAAATATGACGTGTCGGGGATGGAACCACGACCTTCAAATTTCAAGTCAAGTGCTTAAACCACTCGACTACGACTTTTCTACACTGGTCTTCTGTTAATTTCCCACATTTTGAAGACAAAATAATAAACTGCTTCAACACCAAAGGAGGCCTGAGGATAAAACTGTTTATTCAAAAAATTATTTTCCTCTCCAGGAATTGAACAACATGGTGAGAGGTATACAGCAGACTCACTGGCCCGTCTTAGAATCATCCAAGACCAAACTCCCACCATCTACCCCTACAGTAGAGAGACTCACATACAGCATGCAAGTCAGATTAGAGGTGAGATTATCCTTCAGGTAGTCACTGAGGATTATTGTAATCATGCAGTGTACTACTGGAAGAAGTACATTAAGTTATTCATTTGGAGCTTGAAGAGTAAATTATGTAAATAAAGATATTGAGAGAGATACACAGAGAGACAGATAATGTGACAGACAAGAAAAGAAAAGTAAGTGAGTGAGAGACAGAGATAAAGGGACAGACCGACATAGAGAGACAAAGGAGGGTTTAAGATGATAAGAAGAGATGAGGGATATGCGATAAAACAAAGAAATTATAAGGAAGGAAACAAAGATGATGGCCCAATATGTATACTTTTTCAGAGACATACATGTAGGCAGCAGATAACCTCTTACAACTAGGAACTACAAGGAAGGAAACGGACATGATGGCACAATGTGTATACTTTTTAGAGACATAGGCAGCACTGAGCAGATAACTGAGAACACACTCGGTCACATCTTTTATTCATGTACATGGATCCACCTAATCCTCCACCGTTTTGTCTCTCCCCATTCTTTTTGTTGTCGCTATCACTAGGGTATCCAAGTAACAGCCACCAGCCCCACTGCCAGTGCAGTCAGGTTTGAGACAGGAGTGGTAGAGCTTGAACTCTCAAACAGACCTCATACAGAGACAGATTCGGGCGCAGAGGATGGTACGTCTTCCTTACTCTCTTTTTTCGTTCTTACTAATTAAAATTTTCAGTGCAAAAATATTGTCCAGCTTTAGAGTTTTTAAAATATCATTGCCTTATATACGTGTAACCCAGAACCTTGCACCCCTAATACATGTTCATGTATTTGTCGACTGCTAACAATGTTGCTCACATTTTGCAAAATTATACAGTGGAACCTGTATATAAAAACCAATCAAGGGACTCAAGAAAAGTAGTCTTTATAGGCAGGTGGTCTTTACAAACAGGTTCCTTTAGTACACATTTCTATAAGAAGCTATTCAAGATAAACAAAAATGTGGTCTTTATAGACAAGTATACAGGTGGTCGCTATTGCAGGTTTTACTGTTTATTGATTTGCACTGTGCAGAAAGCTGGATTATTATGAGCTTCTATAAGGAAAACGTACATTATTCTGAAATTCCATACATTATAACTTTTTGTGTTATAGGTTGCTTTTTATATCCTATACAAAATAGTTAAATTATCACACCTTAAAGGTTGATAAAGAACTTGAGGTTGGTGCAAAGTCAATATACCCATCTTTCATGTGAAGAAGTGATGTAATATTACTGATCTCTTTTAAATCCAAAACAATATGTTCATGTATAATCAATTGCATATCTTTCAGGATGCTAATCTTTGCCATTTTTTCTATCCTGTCTAGTGAATCCCGGTCATGGTATGAGGATGTTTGCCAAAGCTCTCATCGAGTTCAACCTAAGCCTGGGTACCCTGGTCAAGAACCCAGTCTTCATCGAAGCAGAACCAGAGTTCCATGAGATGGCATACTTCAAGACCAAGATAGGACTCAGGAATACTGTCAAGGTATACATCAGGGCCCTGTTTTACAAAGCCTTTTTTCAATGACAAATGACAAATCTGCTGATAACCGATCAAAAGCAAGGATTTCAATAGCTTATAACAACAACTGTCATTTGTCACTGATGACAAGTTTTGTGAAACACCCCCCAGGGCCCTGTTTCATAAAACTTGATATCAATAACATGGCAACATAATCATGGCATCTGATTGGCTGAGAGCAAATTTGTGATAGAAATTTAGCAGTTGTTATAGATAACAAGTTTTATGAAATGGGCCCCTGATGCATTCATGTCATCTTTGTGTCCTTTGTTTACATATATACCTACCATTGATTGCAGTATGGGTACTGTGTTTGCCCTATTTTAAAATAAAATTGCCAACATGTGGGGAGGGGGTGTAGAAGGAATATCAATATCTGCTCTATTCCACTTTACTGAAAAGTGCACAACGAGGTAAAACATGCCGATAGATATCATCTAATGTGATTGTGGCAAATTAAGGGATGATGTTTAAGGGCCCTGGAATATTTATTTTTGCCATACTTGTACACCTGGGGGATGTTTCACAAATATTCTAAGTCGCACTTAACTCCAAGTTGGACTTAAAAATTATGGAGAGCCATTTGTAGCCTTAAAATATATTCAAAAGCAAAGATTTAAGTATTTTAGACTTTTCATAAATTCTGCATCAAAAACATGAAAACTTCAATGATAATAGAAAATGTGAATGATTTGATTTAACATTTTATGCCTTTTAAAATAACTTTTACAACATATTTTTAAAGATACTAACGACTTCCCATAATTGTTAAGTCCAACTTAGAGTTAAGTTCAACTAAGGATCTTTGTGAAACACTCCCCTGTTCTTACTTGTAAACAGGAGATAAATGATGATCTGACTGAGGGAAAGGACACCCTTCTCATCACACTCAACAGACCAACACTCTTTGTACAATCCAGTGCAGCTGATAGAGGTAAGACATGGCTTTCAGAGGTAGAGATCATTTGACAGATACTTCATTTAATCATTCCATTTTCTTCTTTCCTAGATATTTAAACAAAGAATAACTACATGTCTTGGAATTGCAGTACACACCAAAGTAAAAAGGAATTGAAATTGATTATTGAAATCAATTTGTGTAGAAGCTAAATGTCCATATGTTTGAATGAAGATGGCTGATCAAAGTAAGCATTGACAAACAGTTAAATCGGAAGATAATTCACTGAGAGAAGTAATGCATCCGAAATTCAAATTTCTTTCTACATTGACCGTACATTTTTTGACTAATGAAAAACAAGTTCATGCTTCAAGCAAATGATTCTTCTAAAGAATTTTGCCAGTATTCAGGTTCATATCAACAAGCCAAATCTCAGTCTTCGCTCCATATTAAACTGTTTTCCTATGGCACTGTTATCCTTTACGCATTATTGCATACATGTATTCGCAGCATGGAGTCGGTCACCAGCTGTAGATATTATGCTGTGGTCCTATTTACACAATATCATGTCATATTTCATTACCAATCCCAGCTGTGCTTTTATGGCTGAGCTACACCTCTTCCTATGACCAATGGGCAGAGCAGTGGAAGACCATGGCTCAGGATGACAACCTCCAGGGCGTGGCTGTCAATGATTCCATCAGGTTACCCCTCATCAGGAACCAAGAGGGGGGAGACTCCACCCTCTTCTTGCAGCTTACTGTGCAAGAGTTGGGCATCTGCATTCCGATCCTACCCTCGGTACAGGTAAGATGACAAACCAGTATCCAGGCTTTAATTCCTCCAGGACATTGGATATGGTTGCATGATGGTATGAGATTAAGATTTCGCAAAAAATGGAATGTGCTAGAAATAGGATGATATAATAATAATAGTAATAGCTAGTTCTTTTATATCGCTTTTCTGGACCAAAGGCCCTCTCAAAGCGCTTTACAGATATATATATACAGATATAGTAACCTGTTATGTTTTTCCTTCTTTTTTCTTTGTTTTTCATCCATAATCTCGATTTCTACTCATACTATGTTTCTCATAATTTTGTATTATGATAATGAAATATTTGAAATACATGTGTTTCATTTTAATTTGTATTATATATGAGATGTTTTAATCAAATAAAAAAATTATAAACTTGAAATAAAAAGAATTATCTGTATCCAGATTTTCTACATTCATTTTCATGATAATGTCCCTGTGAATTTGCTGTTGAGGTTGTGTGATCATTATGCACCTTTCATACATATACATGTTCATCATAGCATGGAGTGAATGCTTGGAAGATCTTTTACTATGCGTTGTGTATGTGTCTAAATGTTGATACATCATTTTTAACGAAGTGTAAACACTGCATGCGACTCACTGATGTTACTGTTTCATAAGTTCGACTAAGGTGTTCAGATTCTTATTGATTTCAGCATTATCTCTTTAAAAGATGATGGCATTTAATGCATTGAGTTTTTGTTTAATCAGGGATATAACTAAAGTTGAGCAACTATCAAATTCAATTACAGTCTCATACGTGCACATGTAAGCATACCTGCCAACACTTACATATAATCCAGAATATTCTGATTTTCTGGATTTAAAGGACCTGAATTTTTTTTTTTTTTTTTTTTTTTGGGGGGGGGGGGTAGTTTGTTGCTGAAGCCAAATTAAAATTGTTTAATCATGTGCAGCGATTTGAGAGTTTTCAGTGCGTTGAATGGCTGCATGATCGAGCAACGAATTTGCATTCACTTTTTGGTATAGATTTACAGCATATTTCCAGTTACACTGCCGCTGCAAGAGCAATTTCTTATGTTTCAAAGGCATACCGAGGTAAAAATTCCTAATTGTTAGTTTCAAATTTTGGCAGGTATGGATCATAGGATTCATACCCACACTGCTATGTTCAGTGATAGAAGAGAGTTATCCACTCTCGGTCTGTCATTCTGTAAGTTTCTGTCTCTCTCTCTCTAGATTTATAAGATCATAGGATTCATTCCCACATGTTCAGTGATGGAAGAGAGTCCTCCGCTCCCATCTGTCATCCTCCTCCCTCTAGGGTTATAAGATCAAAGGATTCATACCCACACTGCTCAGTTCAGTGATGGAAGAGAGTTATCCGCTCCCTGTCTGTCATCCTGTAAGTTTCTGTCTGTCTCTCTCTCTCTCTCTCTAGACTCATAAGATCAAAGGATTTATTCCCACACTGCTATGTTCAGTGATGGAAGAGAATCTTCCGCTCCCTGTCTGTCGTCCTGTAAGTTTCTGTCTCTCTCTCAAGATTCATAAGTTCATAGGATTCATTCCCACACTGCAGTGTTCAGTGATGGAAGAGAGTCCTCCGCTCCCATCTGTCATCCTCCTCCCTCTAGGTTTATAAGTTCATAGGATTCATACCCACACTGCAATGTTCAGTGATGGAAGAGAGTCCTCCGCTCCCATCTGTCATCCTCCTCCCTCTAGGTTTATAAGTTCATAGGAATCATTCCCACACTGCAATGTTCAGTGATGGAAGAGAGTCCTCCGCTCCTATCTGTCATCCTCCTCCCTCTAGGTTTATAAGATCAAAGGATTCATTCCCACACTGCTATGTTCAGTGATTGAAGAGAGTCCTCCGCTCCCATCTGTCATCCTCCTCCCTCTAGGTTTATAAGATCAAAGGATTCATTCCCACACTGCTATGTTCAGTGATTGAAGAGAGTCCTCCGCTCCCATCTGTCATCCTCCTCCCTCTAGGTTTATAAGATCATAGGATTCATTCCCACACTGCAATGTTCAGTGATGGAAGAGAGTCATCCTCCTCCCTCTAGGTTTATAAGATCAAAGGATTCATACCCACGCTGCAATGTTCAGTGATGCAAGAGAGTAATCCACACCCCGTCTGTCATTCTGTAAGTTTCCGTCTCTCTCTCAAGATTTATAAGTTCATAGGATTCATTCCCACACTGCAATGTTCAGTGATGGAAGAGAGTAATCCACACCCCGTCTGTCATTCTGTAAGTTTCCGTCTCTCTCTCAAGATTTATAAGTTCATAGGATTCATTCCCACACTGCAATGTTCAGTGATGCAAGAGAGTAATCCACACCCCGTCTGTCATTCTGTAAGTTTCCGTCTCTCTCTCAAGATTTATAAGTTCATAGGATTCATTCCCACACTGCAATGTTCAGTGATGGAAGAGAGTCCTCTGCTCCCATCTGTCATCCTCATCCCTCTAGGTTTATAAGATCAAAGGATTCATACCCACACTGCAATGTTAAGTGATGGAAGAGAGTCCTCTGCTCCCATCTGTCATCCTCCTCCCTCTAGGTTTATAAGATCAAAGGATTCATACCCACACTGCAATGTTAAGTGATGGAAGATAGTAATCCACACCCCGTCTGTCATCCTGTAAGTTCTGTCTCTCTCTCTCTCTCTCAAGATTAATGAGATCTTAGGATTCATACCCACACTGCTATGTTCAGTGATGGAAGAGAGTCATCCTCATCCCGCTAGTTTTATAAGATCAAAGGATTCATACCCACACTGCTCAGTTCAGTGATGGAAGAGAGTCATCCTCCTCCCTCTAGGTTTATAAGATCAAAGGATTCATACCCACACTGCAATGTTCAGTGATGGAAGAGAGTCCTCCGCTCCCATCTGTCATCCTCCTCCCTCTAGGTTTATAAGATCAAAGGATTCATACCCACACTGCAATGTTCAGTGATGGAAGAGAGTAATCCACACCCCGTCTGTCATCCTGTAAGTTCTGTCTCTCTCTCTCTCTCAAGATTTATGAGATCTTAGGATTCATACCCACACTGCTATGTTCAGTGATGGAAGAGAGTCATCCTCATCCCGCTAGTTTTATAAGATCAAAGGATTCATTCCCACACTGCAATGTTCAGTGATGGAAGAGAGTAATCCACACCCCGTCTGTCATCCTGTAAGTTCTGTCTCTCTCTCTCTCTCAAGATTTATGAGATCTTAGGATTCATACCCACACTGCTATGTTCAGTGATGGAAGAGAGTCATCCTCATCCCGCTAGTTTTATAAGATCAAAGGATTCATTCCCACACTGCAATGTTCAGTGATGGAAGAGAGTCCTCCGCTCCCATCTGTCATCCTCATCCCTCTAGGTTTATAAGATCATAGGATTCATACCCACACTGCTATGTTCAGTGATGGAAGAGAGTCCTCCGCTTCCATCTGTCATCCTCCTCCCTCTAGGTTTATAAGATCAAAGGATTCATTCCCACACTGCTATGTTCAGTGATTGAAGAGAGTCCTCAGCTCCCATCTGTCATCCTCCTCCCTCTAGGTTTATAAGATCAAAGGATTCATTCCCACACTGCTATGTTCAGTGATGGAAGAGAGTCCTCCGCTCCCATCTGTCATCCTCCTCCCTCTAGGTTTATAAGTTCATAGGATTCATTCCCACACTGCAATGTTCAGTGATGGAAGAGAGTCCTCCGCTCCCATCTGTCATCCTCCTCCCTCTAGGTTTATAAGTTCATAGGATTCATACCCACACTGCAATGTTCAGTGATGGAAGAGAGTCCTCCGCTCCCATCTGTCATCCTCCTCCCTCTAGGTTTATAAGTTCATAGGATTCATTCCCACACTGCTATGTTCAGTGATGAAAGAGAGTCCTCCGCTCCCATCTGTCATCCTCCTCCCTCTAGGTTTATAAGATCAAAGGATTCATTCCCACACTGCAATGTTCAGTGATGGAAGAGAGTCATCCTCCTCCCTCTAGGTTTATAAGATCAAAGGATTCATACCCACACTGCAATGTTCAGTGATGGAAGAGAGTAATCCACACCCCGTCTGTCATCCTGTAAGTTCTGTCTCTCTCTCTCTCTCTCTCAAGATTTATGAGATCTTAGGATTCATACCCACACTGCTATGTTCAGTGATGCAAGAGAGTAATCCACACCCCGTCTGTCATTCTGTAAGTTTCTGTCTCTCAAGATTTATAAGTTGATAGGATTCATTCCCACACTGCAATGTTCACTGATGGAAGAGAGTAATCCACACCCCGTCTGTCATTCTGTAAGTTTCCGTCTCTCTCTCAAGATTTATAAGTTCATAGGATTCATTCCCAAACTGCAATGTTCAGTGATGGAAGAGAGTCCTCTGCTCCCATCTGTCATCCTCATCCCTCTAGGTTTATAAGATCAAAGGATTCATACCCACACTGCAATGTTAAGTGATTGAAGAGAGTCCTCTGCTCCCATCTGTCATCCTCCTCCCTCTAGGTTTATAAGATCAAAGGATTCATACCCACACTGCAATGTTAAGTGATGGAAGAGAGTAATCCACACCCCATCTGTCATCCTGTAAGTTTTGTCTCTCTCTCTCTCTCTCAAGATTTATGAGATCTTAGGATTCATACCCACACTGCTATGTTCAGTGATGGAAGATAGTCATCCTCATCCCGCTAGTTTTATAAGATCAAAGGATTCATTCCCACACTGCAATGTTCAGTGATGGAAGAGAGTCCTCCGCTCCCATCTGTCATCCTCATCCCTCTAGGTTTATAAGATCATAGGATTCATACCCACACTGGTATGTTCAGTGATGGAAGAGAGTCCTGCACTCCCATCTGTCATCCTCCTCCCTCTAGGTTTATAAGATCATAGGATTCATTCCCACACTGCTATGTTCAGTGATGGAAGAGAGTCCTCCGCTCCCAGCTGTCATCCTCCTCCCTCTAGGTTTATAAGATCATAGGATTCATTCCCACACTGCAATGTTCAGTGATGGAAGAGAGTCATCCTCCTCCCTCTAGGTTTATAAGATCAAAGGATTCATACCCACGCTGCAATGTTCAGTGATGCAAGAGAGTAATCCACACCCCGTCTGTCATTCTGTAAGTTTCCGTCTCTCTCTCAAGATTTATAAGTTCATAGGATTCATTCCCACACTGCAATGTTCAGTGATGGAAGAGAGTAATCCACACCCCGTCTGTCATTCTGTAAGTTTCCGTCTCTCTCTCAAGATTTATAAGTTCATAGGATTCATTCCCACACTGCAATGTTCAGTGATGGAAGAGAGTAATCCACACCCCGTCTGTCATTCTGTAAGTTTCCGTCTCTCTCTCAAGATTTATAAGTTCATAGG